CAAGACACCGGTTCCAGCCTCAGCCGTGGTTCTGGAAGAGATGGTTTGCCATGTGGCCTATGCGAAAGGAGGGATTTGTGTGACATGGGCTACCACTTCCCAGTAGCCTGCCAGCTTTGGAGGGCTTCGTGGAGCCAGTACTACCTTCAGGGGGACCCACCAGTTCATCCTTCATTCCGCTGTGTGGCATTGAAGAGTTGCTTTCCTGTTTATACTAATGTCCACCTCTGATCAATCTTACATTCAGTCTCAGAGGGTTTTCCGAAGGCAGTGCCAAGTCTGGGAATGAGACAGTGGTTCTGTCCTTAGGGAGGTGGTTGACCAAAACAACTCCTGCTTTGTTCATGAAGATGGCATGGTGCTCAGAATCTAATCCAACCTAAGAGGACCTCCTGGAAATGCCTTTGGTATTGAGGCAGATATGGCCTTACAGCACTGTTTTTGGTTTTTTGTTTTTTTTTCAAATGCCCAAGACTAGAGCTCACTAATAGGTAAGATCTGGGCTTCAGTTGCCCAGTACTATTTCTTGGCCTGGTCAGTGTAACTAGACGGATGTTCTTTGGTTGCACATGGGCCATTTTGTATTTCTGATTTTCTCCCCACTCCCCCAACCAGCTCTATTAGCCATGTGGCATGTCCTCCCTCCCACCTACCCACTCCTTCAGACCCAGCACAGTGTGTCTGGCACATAGTGGGCACTTAATCAGTATTTATGGAGTGATGAAATCCATATCATCATCCACTTCTTCTCAGTGGAACTTTCAGCCTTGGAGGGCTTCCTGGAGGAGTTGCCAGTTTTGGGGATGAGCCACTGCTTCGAGCATCCATGTCAACCCCTGACCATGAAGAGGAGACTCCTGGCCTGTGTGTGCTTGTGGCATGATGCATGTGCTGTGCTCAACCTCCCTTCTGGTTCCACCCAGCTCAAGGCCTTGGAGGGGTTTCTGGATGTGTCCTGAGCCTTTGTCCTCGGCGTCTCTGTGTGGTACTTGGAGAGATAGTAGACCGTATAGCGTACGCTTTATCTGTGACGTATGTAACACGGTCCACTAACCCTCAGTATCAAATCCATCCCCGAGGCTCCTGGAAACAACGCTGTCTTCGGGGAGGAACCGTTGGACCCACCACCACTTCTCCATGATACCCGAAGAGATGGTTTTCTGTATGGCATGTGTTTTTCTGCATGATGCAAAATGGCATAATCTCGCTCCTCTTAAATCAAGTTCTGCCTCGGGAAATCGCTCCATCCCTGGGGAGGAGACCTTGATTCTTTCCGGAATCAGTGCCATTCCATGGCATTCAATGACGTGGTTGACTACGCAACACTTATTCAGTAGACTCTGTGACCTGCTTCTTCTCAGCTTCAAATGCAGCCTAGAAGAGGCACCCTCGGGCAGCTTCGTGGACTTGAGCCTTGTTCCAGCCACAATCACCATCGTGCGGTACTTGAAGAAATGGTTTACCGTCCCACATACATTTTCAATATGTATGTGGGACGGTAAACCGCTTCTTGGTATCCAGCCCAGCCATCCAAACCTCCGTGAAGAAAGCCTGCAGTTAGAGGAGAGCCACGGGTCTCGGCATCCTCGCCATGCCATGGTGCTTGGCGGAATGGTAGACTCTTAGATGTGTGCTTTCTCTGTCAATGCTTGTGACGCGGTCTTCTTCTCAGTGCCAAACACAGCCTCCAGTGGCTTCATCAGGACAAGGATGACCTCCAGGAAGGTGTCCTGCTGCCCATGTTGGCACATCCCTCTGGAGTAATTGAAGAAATGGTGGCAGGTGCCACTAATGTTCATGAAGGAGGGATGTGAAACAGGCCACCTCTCATCCTCAAAGCTCTCCTCAGATGACTTCAGGACAGTACGCCCATGTAGGAGCAGATATGGGTCCAGGAGACGATGCCACTCCAGGTACTTGAAGACGCACTGACTCATTTTTGTCTTTGCTGATGCGTGTACAGTCTATCTTTTTTCCATCTCAAGTCTAGCCATGTCGGGGGAAGATGCCCCAGCTCTGGACTCAGCCCTGATCCTCATGAAGATCTGATCGACCCATTGTGTATGTTTACAGAGGAAGTACCTCCGTGGCCCACTTCTTCCCTATCTCCAGTCCAGAGCCCTTGCTTGGAGAACTTGCTGAAGAAGCTGCCAGCCTCGGGGACAGAGCACTGGTTCTGGCCTCTTCACTGACCTCACGGTACCTGAAAAGGGTTCAGCCACACTGCATGTCTTTTCCTCATGACGTATGTAACATGGTCTACTTCTTTTCGAGTATCCCTTTCAGCCTGGAAAGTCTCCAAGGAGGTTATGTTAAGCTCAGGAGACGAGGCACCAGTTCTGGTACCAGTACTGCCTCGGGGTACTTAGTAGAAGTTGGCCATGCTTCATATGTTTTACTTACAACGCATGTTACTTGGTCCACCTTCCTATAACAGCGTGCACCTTGGGGGCTTTCTGTAGGGAGTAACAAGTGCCAGGCATAGCACTAGTTCCAGCGTCATCTCCATTCTTGAGGGGTTCCTTTGTGCTGTGTCCACTGCATCTGTGGCAGACATTGCATGGTGGCCTCTTCTCAATACTGCATCAGGCCTCAGAGGGCTTCCTGGAGGTGATGCTAGCGAGAGGAAAGAGACACCGGCTCTAACATCAGCCCTCTCCAAGGTACCTGAAAAGATGGTTGACCATAGAACATGCGCTATCTCTGTGTCGTATGTAATATGGTCCACGTCTTCTCAATATCAAATTCAGTCACAGAGGGCTTCCCAGAGACAGGCAAAGTCACCTTCGTGGGAGACACACTGATCTGGCTTCAGCACCATTCTATAGTACTTGGAGAGATGGTAGAGCAAAAAGCGTATGCACTGTTGAATGACAGATGTAGCATGGTCCACTCATTCTCAGCATCAGGCAGCCCTGGGGCTTCCTGGAGGCCTTGCCGACTCGAGAGCCAGGCCTGCGTGGTAGCCACTATGCAGTGCAGGTCACCGGGTGGTTGGCTGCAGACCCTGTCCTTTATTTATTACATTGGCCATTTGGTCCACCAGCCAAGAACTCAGCACCGGTCCCAGCCTTACAGGGCATCCTGGAGGTGGTGGTGGCATTGGATGTGAGTTTGTGGTCATTGTCACATTGCCGGTGGCTGGTAGTTCATGATGCACATTGTGAGGGCTTTCTGGAGGTGATAGCAGGTGAAAGGAAGAGAGCCAGGGGTCACCGTCACTTCCTGGTATTTGAAGATGCGGTTGACCATGGTGTGTACGCTTTATTTATAACGTAGGACACATGGTCTACTTCTTCTCAATATCACATCTCGCCTCGGAAGACTTCCAGGAGGTGATATCAGCTTTGAGGAAGAGCCACTGTCCTGGTGTCAGTACGGCTGCTGCTTGGTACTTGGAGAGAGGTGGTCCGTGGCGCGTTCGCTTTATTTATGGCGCACATTACACGGTCGACCTCTTTGCAGTATCTAATCCCGCCTTGCAAGCTTTCCTGGAGCTAACATCAACTGCGGGGTGGGGCCACTAGATCTGCGCTCAGTGCAACCCAGCGGGGTTTGTGATGTGTTTGTCTTGTGTGTGACGATAACTCACGTGTGGCAGCCTTCTTCTCAGCACACTGCTCTGGCTTGGCGGCAGGGTTAACTTGCGAACAAGGAGCGTGGTGTCAGCACGTGCCTGGATACATGAGATGGTTGACCAGAGAGCACACGCTTTATATGTGCCGTTTGTGACCTGGTCCACTAACCCTCAGTATCTAATGCCCCCTTGGAGAACTTCCTGGAAGAGGTGTCAACTTTTGGGGAAAGAGACAATAAACCGGGGCCGGCTGCACTCTGCTAGACTCTGAAGAGAGCGTCTGCGAGGCGTTCGCGTCACGTGTACCCAATGTGACTGAATTGGACTGATTTTCACTCTAATCTCTTTCCTTGGAGGGCTTCCCAGATGTGGAAGCATCCAAGTTCAAGGGAAGGGGCATGCTGTCTATACCATCCCCAAATCCTCGAGTGATCAGCTGACCTGAGTGTGTGCACTTCTATTTACAACCAAGGGCACCTGGCCCGCCACACCTCAGTATCCACTAGGTCCTTAGCAGGACCTTTGGTAGAGTCAGCCTTGGTTTGGGGCATCTGTGCCTCTCTTGAGTAACTGAGAAAACATGGCCCTGGGGGTTAACCCTAAATGCGATAGCTCCTGTGACCAGCCTTTCTATGGCATCACCACCTCTGGCTGTGATGTCAACTTCAAGGCATGCCGTGGGGTCTGCTCCACTGGGGTACTTGGACAGGTGGTTGGCGAGCAGCATGCATCCAACTCTTGGCTTCCTCCAGCAAATCTACTAACTAACGCTCAGTGTGCAATTCCATATTTAACAGGACTTCCAGGACTGAATGTCAAGTTTGGGGAAGAATCAGTGGTGTTCCTTGTCAGTGTTAATCAGTGGTACCTGAAGAGAGGTTTTCTGGGTTTCTGTTTCTTTAATGAGGATGAAACACACCTGGTTAACCTCTTTTCCAGTATCAAATCCCATCTTGGAGGCCTTCTGGTCCAGACCTCAGCTTCAGGGAAGGGCGTTACTCTCAGCTCCAGTTCACTGGACAGAAATCTATGGTTAACCACAAAGCCTGTGCCGTATTATTTTGACTGATGTCATCTGTTCTACTAACCCCAGTGTCCAATCCGTATTTAACAGGACTTCCAGGACTGAATGTCAAGTTTGGGGAGGGAATCAGTGATGTTCTTGTCAGTGTTAATCAGTGGTACCTGAAGGGAGGTTTTCTGGGTTTCTGTTTCTTTATTGAGGATGAAACACACCTGGTTAACCTCTTTTCCAGTATCAGTCCCCACCTTGGAGGCCTTCTGGTCCAGACCTCAGCTTCAGGGAAGGGGTGCTATGGGCATAAATAAGTAGACATGAGCAAATGGCTGACTGCTAAGCGTGCTCCATGTTTCTGAATTTGCCACCGATTGCACTAACCCTCAATGTCTTATCCCTTCTTAGGAGGACTTTTCAACGTGATGGCAGCCTGGGGGAAGGCAGTATCACCACGAAGTGTCATGGAACATGCAGGTGAGTCGTCTGTGGTTGCCTTCGTCGTGCTCCCAGTGGATCGTGTGTGTCATTCAGGCTCTTTTGGCATCAGACCCTGCTGCTGGGGGATGCCTGGTTCTTGCCACACTCAGTGATGGGCTTGAATGAGCCAAGCCCACCGCAGGGGAATACCAGTTTGATAGGAATCATGCCCTGGACAGACAGCGCAGGTGTCCTGCACACCTGTCCCCAGCCTGCAGTTTATTCTGAAAGGATGTCCTGAGTATAATGACACCTTAGAGGAGAAAAGCTGATTCTGAGGTCAAGAGGAGACCTTGGGGACCCTGGAATTGGCCTAAGTTGGGACCTGTTTATTTCTAACAGGAATTGTGGAGTTGACTTATTTTAAGTCTGGAGAAATCCTTGATGTCGTGCCAACTTGAGGGGAGGGCATTTTCATCAGCCCTGATCCAGGGGAAGGAAGTGGATGGCCCACCATGGGGCCCCCAGGAACACACCTGCCTCACTGACCAGCACATCTGACCCATCCTCGGGGTTGTGTTTCTGCAGATGGTTCTTCTTTGGGGTGCTTGAGGAGAGGTTTCCTTTGGCATATCTATTTCTTTTATAGAAATCGTTTCTGTGGACCACTCTTCAGTATCAAACACCAGCTCAGAAGGCTTTGGGATAAGACAGTAGTTGTCAAGCCCCTGGCCAGGGTGAGTGGGCCGGAGATGGGCGCTTCTCCTGTTCTGAGCATCCCGTCTGGCAGTCATGCTTGGTGCCCGATCCTTTCCAGGAGGACTTCCTGGAGGTGATGCCGGCCTCTGGGGAAGGAAGCGGCTCCCTGCTAGCTCTAAGGCCAAGGCACAGAAGTAGGTTTTGCTGGTGCTGCATTTGTTTTGATGGCTCTTAGTTGTGACTGTGGGTCCTCAGCTCATCCGTGGCATTTGGGGAGGGGACTTGTGAGGAAGGAGGGTGTCAGGTTCTGGAGAAGGCCGGGTCTTTCCATCTCAACCCTGCTTTTTATAACCAGAGACAGAACATAGGAGGTAGCACCAATGACCACCGTTGCCAACCCTTCCTACTAGCTGATACCCAAACACCATTCCTTCCAGCCGAAAAGGGCCCTCATGAAGAGAGGGCAGAGGGAGAGAGTGCCAAGGCCATGTGACAGCAGGCAGTGTGCTGTCGCCTCTGGGGTATTCAGGTTAGGCGGCTGCTGAGTCCATGCAGATTGGGTGCTCTGCTGGCTACACAGAGGTCAAAGGACAGGTGGCAAGGGTGCAGAGCCGAAGCCTGGCCCTGGGATTTTCTTCCCTGCCCTCTGCTCCAGGGTCCACCTTCGGGGGAAAGGAGGGCACAAGTGTACAACTTTGTAAGAGGAAACCTGAAGTTTTCTGATCCCTGATTCTCTCCAGCCCTGTCAGGATTGACCTAACTCTCTGTTGAAATGCAAAAGAGTCTGGAAATACCAGTATTCCCCCAACAATGAAAACAATTATTGTCAAAGGAGTTTTATAGTAAACAGAAAATCCAGCCTGGAATTGGCTAAAACATTTGGGGAGCTCACATCAGGAAATGAAATTTGTTTTTATTTCTTAATTCTACTGAATTGGATTGAAGGCAGCAGAAGGCATTAGGTGGGTGACCTGGAGGAGGGGGGCCTGGTCATGCTCCCGGCTTCCCTGACCCTCCCTTCCTAGGTGTGTGTAGGGGGCGCTCACTTTGCTTACAACTTACTGGGCACCATGCATCTGGTTTTAGAATCACACCTTGCCTGGAAGACTGCTTGGATCCATGGCCAATGCCACACAGAGGCCTGGGCGCCGGCTAACTGCAGACCCAGCCACCTGCTTCTTGACCACAGAATTCGAGATTTCCTCATGAACTCTACTGATGCACTGACTTCGGGATGCAAACCATTATGACTGGGGGCACTTCCTGTGGCCCGGACTTCCACAAGGAAACCCTGGTTCCGCCATCAGGAAAGCTCCAGTACCTGGAAAGAGGTTGTACCTAAAATGTTCTCTGTATTGGTGGAAAATGTTTCACGGGCAACCTCTTTTCACTGTCAAGGCTTAAAGGGCTTTTGACTGACCTCCCGAAAGCAACCTGGGATACTCGAACAGAAGCCCTCTGACATCTGGTCTACGCAGTGCCATATAGATCCGCGGAATCCTCCTGGAGGTGACACTGATGTCGGCGAAGATTCGGCAGTTTTGTTTTGATATTTTGTTTGTTTTTTAATCAGTGCTAATCGTCGATACTCGAAGGAGAGGTTGTCCGTGTTGTCTTCTCTTTATTTATGATGAAACATACACGGGAAACCTCTTCTTTAGTATCAAATCCCACCCTGGAGGCACTTCCTGTTCCTGATGCAGCCTTCAGGGAGGGATGTTGCTGGCTCCTGTCTCGGTGGGTGCAAGCGAGGCCGACGGCTTGCCGTGTGTCCTAGGGGTGCGGCTCTCAGGCCCAGCGGTCCCGCGGAGGCCCCTGGGAGGGCAGCTGAGTCTGGAGAAGGGCCTGTGCTTCTGTGGTTGAGGGAGGTCACTCATTGTGGTGTGTGCCTATTTATTGACTCACGGCGGGTGGTGCCTCTTCAGTGTGAGGTCTTGCTCAGATGGCCTTCTGGACACGCTAGCAGTGTCACTGAAGGGACGATGGTGCCATCTGCTCTCCAGGGTAGCTGAGGGGATGGTAGACCGGTGACGTGCACTTCATTTACGATGTAGGTCACCCGTTTGACTATCCACCAGCGCCCGGTCCATCTGTGGGATGACATCTTGGTGCACATGGCAACTTCGGATAAGATGTGGGAGGACGTGGGGCTCATGGGACTCTGCAGGATTTCAGGAGGGGTTTCCCTTTGGGGGCCCCTCCTCCCACCTCCTTAAAGTCAATATAAGCAATCATCAGTGAATAATCTCTCTTTTGGTTTCAAATCCTGCCCAGGAGGGATGACAGCCTGAGCACAGACAATGCCAGGACCGCGGAGGCCTCAGCTTCAGTGCCCCAGCAAGGAAAGGCCCACCTCACACCGCATGCTGACTGCAGGAGGTGTGTGTGTGGGGCCTGGTGCAGGGGTGTCGTTATCCTTGGAAGGGTTTGAGGAGTGGTTTGTGTGTGGGACAGGGCAAGTGTTGGGACAGCTGTGGTTGTTATGGCCACTTTATTCGGTGCTACATGAAGAGAGGTTGTCTGACAAAGCTTGCCGTGTGTCTGATGAATGCTACATGGTCCATCTCTTTTCCATAGGAGGACTTCCTGGACATGAAGCTAGATTCTGGCAGTGCCCCACTGGTGTCAGCAACACTCCTGGTGAGTCGTGGATGGGAGACTGAGGAGCTGGTGGCGTGATTGAGATGAGCCCTTCCTGTGTCGAGACCACTCAGAATCCAGCCACTCCCGAGGCGGTATCCAGCCCACGCTTGGGGAAGGCTTTGCTGTCGTTGCTCACCTCTGTCTGTGGTTCAGCTCTGACTGCCTTACAAGGCCCGAGATGCCCTGGATGCTCTCAGTGTCAGACTCTGGAAGATGTGTCCTGGCTGTGACACGCTGCAGGGGAGGGCTGTGGGCGTCAGGTCCCTGGAGAGGTATGGGAGCGGATATCTTGTCTGAGAGCAGACGTTCTGCTTCGGGTGTGTGTCCTGGTCCGTTCATCCTCAGCCTCCCTCCCATTCCTAGGATGACTTGTGGAGAGAAGGCCTGCTCTGGAGTCTGAAGGTGAGACCCACAGCTCTCACCCCACCCTTGGGATATTCCCACGGCTACGGCAGAGGCACAAGAAAGTGACTAGAAACACAGAAACTCCTTAAGGCCAAGGCTGGGAACTGCTGTGTTTCCACGCATAGATCATTGACCAGAACAAATTACGTGGTTGAGCCCAAGGCAAGGGGCAGGGGGGGACACTCTACCCGGGAGGAGGTTGTGGTGAAGTGCGAATGCATGAACTGGGGAGGATTTGCCACCAGGAGAGTTGTCCACGTGGCCCACCTGAGGACTTGGGCTTTATTCATTGCTCATTCATCCCTCCCTAACCTGCAGCTCCGATCTGCCATGGGGGCACTTCTCGGGCTCAAGCTGGTCGACGGTGGTGACACTGTGTCAGGACCTCTGGTCATTCCATCTGTTTGAGGCAAACATTAAAACATCCCTTGCGGTACTCGTTCTGTGAAGACTTCCTTGGCTCAGGGGCTCCATCAGGGCCGGCACTTTGCTGTTTGCCCCTGAAGGGTAGGTGGTAGATCTCATCGATCTTATCTGGGGAGTTATTGTGACTCTCCTGGTCCCTGCTTATCTATCCACAGGAGGACTTTTAGGATGCCAGACCAGTGTTTCTGTGCCATTGTCATTCTGTGATCCTGGAGGAGACTTTGTTATTGATGAACACATCGTGCCCACAGGCACCTCCAGGACACAGTGCCACCTGTACAGAGGGGGCAGACCTGTTAGAAGTCTCCGAGGTCTTGAGGTGGGTTGTATACAGGGCCATATCTTTGTCACCCATTGCCCGGTGTGCATCAGGACCCGTGTGTTCTCAGGAAGCCTGCAGAAGTGATACCAGTCGCGGAGAAGCAGTGCTGTCAACGGTGCTGACGTGCGGTACTTAATGAGAAGTTGCCCGTGTCTTTTTCGCTTTATTTGTGCCGAAACATTCGCGGTGCACTTCTTTTTCAGTATCCTATTCTGCCTTGAAGACGTCTTGGTTCGGGGAAGGCACATGGGCCCCTGTAGTGGATGCTGGTCAGGACCTCCCCACCCCATATCTTTTCTCCCTTCCTAAATTTCCCCTGGTTTTTTTAATGAAAGCTCCTCTCTTCCCACCGTGTGCTTTGATTGCATTGACCCTGCCTGACTTCCTTCACCAGCCCAGGCTTAAGTGAATCTCTTGATCTCTTCTTCTTTGCCACTGCAATTGCTTCCAGAATAGGCTCCTGACCCCACTGAGCCAGTGAAAGGCAAGGAGATGTTTGCTGTGGCTTCTGGGAAAGAAACTGTTTCTCCCTTTTCTATGATAGCTGCCAGAGTAGACACTGTCTATTCCATTTAGCTGGGAACAGACAGTGAACTTTGATGTGAGCTTCGAAGGTCCTACAGCCATTTAAGGACTAAGAGGAGAGGGCTTGGTGCCACACAGACACAGAAGAGGGAGTCTGTACCACGAAAGGCATCTTGGAGACCTAGAGAAGAGCCTGGGTGATACCATTTGAGTCCCTAGATCAAACCCTGCCTGAAGCTTGCTCTGTCTCTGTACTTTTTAGTTATGTAAGTCTATACATCCCTTACTTGTTGAAGCCAGTTTGAGTTAGATTTTATCTTACTTGCAATACAAACAGATGATACCACAGTGTGTTTTCCAGTGTGACTGGGAAAGCCTGCATTTTTTTGATGATATGTTTCTCACGGTTTGCCTATCTATCTTCAGCATCCTATTTAAGGCAGGGTCTTTGTGAAAGGTGACTTTTCTTATGGACTTATGCTTTCAAAGCTTTGTCTTAGTGATTTAATTTATGGTTGACAAATGATGCACAATTACCGTGTTTTGTGTCCAGCAATGGATCACTGGGTCCTCTCTGGAAGGCCTGAAGGGTGGTGGGCCCCGGAACTTGTGCCCTGATTCACTCTCCCTGGAATCCACCTCTCGCTGGGAGGCTGCCCGTCAAGTGATGCGGACTTGGGGAAGCTGTTGTCCTTTCCTGGCCCCTGCTGTCCTTTGGCTTTCTGTGGGTTGGTTGTATTTGTCACAACTCACACCAAACTGTCAAGTATTTTAGAAGCCAGCCATGCCTCCAGGGAACCCAGAGCACCTTAGGGAGGAGGCATGGTGGTCAGGACCATGCAAGGTGCACAGATAGATGGGTCCACCGAGAGCCGGGGCTGCCTAAGTGGTTTGTTTCTCCTAATTCGTTATCTTTGTCTTCCCATCTCTGAAGAGGAGAACTTCCTGGAACCACGGACTCATGGAGGAGATTCTATTTTTGGGTCCAGGAACATCCCATTTTCTCCATTTGTGGGTTTGATAGTAAACATTCCGAAAGCCGTCTGCCCTGATGATTGAATTCTGCCCGTGAAGACTTCCTGGGATCCCGAAGTAGAGGGAGTCTAGGATCGCTTTGCTTTATCTGTGATCTGTGATGACTGTCCGCCTCTGCTCAGTGTCAGCCCAGCCCTTCGCAGCATGCCCCCCGCCTACCTTGGGTTAGCCAACACCTGATGCTTTTAAGCTTAATTGAGCATAAGTTTGATTGGTAGTGTCTGCCCAGCCCTGTCCCCACGCCCTGACCCTTTGTGTCCCTTCACGCCCAGGTGTGCCGCTGGTGGGGAGGACGTGCTCATCTCTGGTACCTGAAAAGAAGTTGCCCATGTTATTTTCGCTTTATATGTGACGAAACAAACATGGTGCACTTCTTTTTCGGTATCAAATCTCTCCTTGAAGAGCCTCCATCCCTGATGGGACCCTGAGCATGGGACCTGGTGTCACTACCTCTCTTGGTATGTACATGGAGGATTTGTCCCGGCAGCCCCTCGGTGACTCTGCGTGTTGGTGGGCTCAGGGACCATGCTCAGTCCTTAGTCCACGCCCACCTCTCGGAACAGGCACAGTTGGCGAGGCCTCAGCCACATGCCAGCTCCCCACTGCAAGGGAGGCTGGGGAGACGCACTCCCAGGCTCCACTAAGAAGTGTTCCCCAACATTTGAGAAGAGTTCCGATTATAGCAGCCAAAAACAAAATAAAAAAGGAAGCAGCTGCCACAACCACAAAAACAAATAAGCAGTGAAGACCCCCACCCCCATCCGCTCTGTCCAGAGGTGCGAGGGGATGGCTGAAGGGGACATGAGGACGTGCCACCTGGTGGACTGCCACCCGCACCTCCACAGAAGAATTGATTGGGGGTAGCAGTTGTGGCAGAAGTCGTCCCTGTGGTTCGGGGGGACAGGATTTCCCAGAGTGAGGATTCACTGGAGCCTAATCCTCCTAGCCCCGCTCTTTCTTTTCTTTTTCTTTTCTTTCTTTCTTTTTTTTTTTTTTTTGACACGGAGTCTCACACTGTCACCTGGTCTGGAGTGCAATGGTGCGATCTCGGCTCACTGCAACCTCTGCCTCCCAGGTTCAAGCGATTCTCCTGCCTCAGCCTTCCAAGTAGCTGGGATTCCAGGCGCCTGCCACTAGGCCCGGCTAATTTTTTGTATTTTTAGTAGAGACGGGGTTTCACTATGTTGGCCAGACTGATCTTGAACTCCTGACCTCGTGATCCACGCCCGCCTCGGCCTCCCAAAGTGCTGGGATTACAGGCATAATCCACTGCGCCCGAGCCCCGCCCCATTCTTTCTAGGTGCCAGTCCTGCCTCTGAGAGATGTGCTCCTTGATCACCAACAGCAGAGAGATGTTGGTGTCTGACGTTGGTGTCTGCCCCAAGTTGGGAGCAGTGAACAATGGCTGATGGCAGAACACATGCCTTCCCGAAGACACTGCTATCCAGGTGTCCAGTCCCCACATCCAGTCCGTCCTTGGGCACTGGAAGAGAAGTTTTCCCAGTGTGTTCATTTTATTTGTGACGAATCATTTCTGGCCAGTCTTTTTGCAGTATCAAATCCCACTTGAAGGGAAAGGCTGTTTGAGCTGGGAGCTTTGGTGGCGTCAGCAGTTCTCTGGGGTGAGTGATGGGTGTTGCCCAGAGGGCATGTGTGCCAGCACCATGGCCACCTGGTCCTCTGAACCTCAGCATCCCTATCCCCTAGGAGGGCTTCCTGGAGCTCTGCCAGCCAGAACTAGAGGCTGTGGGACTGCTCTCTGGGTTACACTTTGGTACTGGAGGAGAGGTTCTCTGTGTTTCTTCCCTTTATTTATGATGAAAAATATGGTGCACTTCTATTTGAGAATCACGTGCCATCAGGAAATCCCAGAACCCACTTCTGGGAGGAGATGCTAATGGCAGTCCATCGGTGGCACTGGGACCATGCTGGCCTCAGCAGGTGCCCTTTGGACAGTGGGCAGCTGCTCCACCCATCCCCTGGGCTCTGGCCTCCCTCTAGAAAGCTGCCTGGTGGCAGAAACACGTTGGAGAGGCAGCACCGGTCTTCATGTCGGGAAATTCCATCAAGAAAGGCTGTCCAAGCTGTGGCCTGCACAGTCAACCCGTTCTACTCATTTGAGTGCCACCCTTCTACATGATGGGGTGCCCACTTCAGGGAAGGTGCAGCTGTGGGAGCAGAAGGCAGGCCACACAGTCTGTATGTGACACGTGCCACTCGGCCCGTGGACCCTCAGCCTGAGGACCTCTGGAGGGGACACTGGTTCTGAGTCCCCTGTGGAAGGGGAAGCATAGTTGTTGGATGACGTGACATGGACAGTTCTCTTCTGACCAGAGCCTCGTCTCTCATCGAGGAGGGCTTCTGCTCTCTGCTGCTTATGTCAGGAGAGGGCCACTGTTGCCTCCACCACCTCAGGTACGTCGGAGGGAGACCTCGAGGAAGCATTACATCTCCGACGGTGCGTGTCCCTGTGTGTTAACGCTTGCCATCTGTTTCCTTTGCAGAAAGACCCCCTGGGCTCTGGAAGAGAGACAGGACCCCAGAAGCTGTCCAGGAATGGTTGGAGGGAGGTTGTTGGTGATGTATTCACTCTGTGTGGCAGATACCCCACAGTGGACCTCCTAAAGCACTGAACGCCTCCTTGAAGGACGTGCTGTATGTGGGGTCAAGTTCAGGAACGTGGTGTGGGTGTCCGTCAGCCCCTCACTGAGGGTATGTATGCAGATGGTGGAACAGATGGCAAGTATTTTTCTTCATTTGTTTTTTCTTTTGAGAATTGAGAATTTATTGAATGAACATGTAATCCTGTTTCCTAAGGTAAATCTATACGTAAAAATTTAGGTCCTGCACCACCAATTTCTTATTAAGAAATGGACCAAGAAATGTGAACAAAACCATATGTAACACAGTTTTCAGATTTCTAGAAGAATGTCAAAATATACACTGTCTTGTCTCTTGATTCCCAAAGCTTAAACTCTAAAGAATAGGGAAGACATCGGTATACACTGGAAAAAAATGGCAAATAAGTGAGGAGGATGGGAATTTTTATGACTACATGGGAGACACACTGAATTTTTTTTTTTTTTTTTTTGAGACGGAGCCTGACACCGTCGCCCAGGCTAGAGTGCAGTGGCGCGATCTCGGCTCACTGTAAGCTCCGCCTCCCGGGTTCATGCCATTCTCCGGCCTCAGCCTCCTGGGTAACTGGGACTACAGGCGCCCGCCACCACGCCTGGCTAATTTTTTTGTATTTTTAGTAGAGATGGGGTTTCACCATGTTAGCCAGGATGGTCTCAATCTCCTGACCTCGTGATCCACCCACCTCGGCCTCCCAAAGTGCTGGGATTACAGGCGCCCACCATTGTGCCTGGCTAATTTTTGTATTTTTAGTAGAGACAGGGTTTTACCATGTTGGCCAGGTTGGTTTTGAACTCCTGACCTCAGGTGATCCATCCACCTCGGCTTCCCAAAGTTCTGGGATTATAGGCATCAGCTACTGCGTCCGGCCAGCAACTTTTTGCATCTAAAAGGTGAATGTTCCTTCTATGCTTACAGGATTTATGGTTAATCACAGAGGAAGTACCATCAGGGAAGCCCATTCCAGCAGGAAGTGGGGAGGGGGCAGGTGAAAAAAGCGGAAGAAACCAATTGGGGCATATCCAATTAAGGACAAGTCCTGTCCTGAGCAGGGTTGCTGCAGCCAGATCCCCCAGCAGGGCCTGGGGAGTCAGCTGCACCTAGAGCTGAGGGCCCGGGGCGGACACGGATGTGTTAGTTCACTAGCCTGGGTACCCTAGCCAGGCCCCTCAGGGCGGGATGCCAGCCCCTCGGAAGAGACAGCCTGTGGGCTGACCTTTCTCCCAACACACAGGAAGAAGAGTTCCTTGGCTGATTACTACACCTATCCCAGCTCTTCCAGGCTGCCAGTGTTTCAGTTACCAAAATAAGACCCCCAAGCCCAGCCAGCAGCTGTTCCTCAATTCCATGTCCCCCTCCTTCAGGACCATCCTGGCAAGACCTACTCCTGGGGACATGAATGATGTCTGGCCACAGAGAATACATGTTTATGACTCAGACCGTTTGATTCCCTAACCAGCCATGTCCCATTGGTCCTCAACAGGGCCTCATGGAGGCAGCTGTGACCTGAGGAAAGTGGCCTTGCTCTGGCTGGTATGGGCAGAATGCTTGTCCATGTAGATTTGCTTTATTTATGCAAATTGTGCTTTGAGGCTTCGGAGAATCAGACTTGCTTCCTCAACAAGCTGTGGCTGCAAGGGAGGGGCTGGCGAATTGCAGGCAACGGGTGTGATCTGGTCCGCTCTCTAATCCATTTGCCAGTAGGAGGAACGCCTAACTCTGCGTGTGTGAGAGGTAGTGGTTTTTAAGTACAAGACTGTTTTGAACCAATTCCAGCTTTAGAGAAGTGAGATGGGTGTAGGTTGTCCGTGTGTGGAATGTGAATGGAGGGTTGGACATGGAGCATACGCTTTCCCTGTGGAGAATGTGGCCCGGTCCTCAGTACTGAAGCCATTTTAGGGGCACTTCCTGGAGTGATGACACCCTTGCGAGATACGGTTTGAGTCTGGGATTATTGGTCCTCTATTTTTAACTCTGGGAGGCATGTGTTGTCGCTATTTTAGTAAGCCTCTGCATCCACCACCCCAAAAATGATTTTTCTGAAAGCTGCGATCATTGTTTGTAGAGGGTGGTGGTGGTAGGGGCTGGTGAGCATCATGTTTTGCTACCTCTCGGTTATATTTAAAGAGACATTGTTTTTGACCTGTTTGCCTATTCCTCAGTCTGTCACACTGACATGACCAGTCCTGCAGATGGAAACTTTCTGGACACAAGCTTCACTTTCTGGAAGATTCTTGGGTATCCTTCTCCCTCCAAGGTATGTGAAGGACGCTCCAGCCCACAGTTATGTGATATTGGTCATTAGGTGCCTTGGGAGGGCTTCATGGAGGCAATGCTCACTTTAGGAACCTGACAGGCTTATTTTCTTTTTGTTTTTTATATTTTTGGAGTTTAAAGCATGGAATCCCTACTTCGCCTGCTTTACTTATGGCAAATTTTTGATGAACATTCACTTTTTTTTTTTTTTTTTTTTTCCCAGAATTAAATGCTACTTGGGAAACGCTCTTGACCGTGAAATCTCCATTAGGGAAGAGACCTTAGGGTTACCGCCACCCAGACGAGTGACAGCAGGGCAGACCCCAAACCTACACGTGCCTACGTAGGAGTTCCATCTCTGGACGTGAAGAGGCGGGGGTGGGCCCTGCGCTTCCTACGTGGGACTCAAAGCACTCACCTGCTTCCGTTACCTTCTCTCTTTGATGAGTCATGTTTGGATTTGTGTTCTCCAGGGATGTTCCAACTTTTCGCATCTAAAAGGTGGATGTTCCTTCTATGCTTACAGGATTTATGGTTAATCATAGAGGAAAATCCACATTGTCAGTATCTAAGGCCGCTTTTAAAACATTTCTGAACATTTCTGAGAGGAAGGTCAGCTCCCGGCCCCATGCAGAGTGATGGAAGGTGAATCCCAGAACCTAAGCTCTTGTTAACAAGGTCTGTCCTGGGACACGTGTCCTCCGCAGGGCCCACGTCACTGCTGCTAGCCCGGGAGGCCCCTGCCGACTGCACCTGTCCTGTGCTGTCTTTAATCTTGAGAGATTGTGCTTAGGTTCATGCTTTCCAGGACTCAATCCTTCTTTGGTATTTAAAAGGTGGATATTCCTTCTATGTTTATGTTATTTATGGTTAAACATAGAGGAAATTCCACGTTTTCAGTATCAAATGCTGCTTGGAAACATTCCTGGACTGAAACCACCATCAGGGAAGAGACAATAAAGTCCCCCCCCAATCCAGGGTAAGTGGAAAGTTGGTGGACCCCAGAACATGTGCTGGATTCGTGCCATATGTCTGTGGACCACCCGCCCATCTTGAGAAGACCCCTCTCGCGAGCTGCCCGCTCAGCCAAGCGGCTGGGCTCTGTCGTCAGTTTCTCCATGAGGCCGAATGCTCTCCTCTGTGTTATGCTACTTTTGTGTTTGATGGATTGTACTTAGGTTCGTGCTTTCCGGGATGGAACCTTCTTTGGTATTTAAAAGGTAGATTTTCCTTCTATGGTTACGTGTTTGATGGTTAATCATAGAGGAAAATCCACGTTTTCAGTATCAAATGCTGCCTTGGGATCCTGGCTGGACGGAAGCCACCAGCAGGGACGTGAGGTGGGGCTGAGCCCTCCAGGGTAAGTGGAAAGGTGGTGGGCCGCAGAACATGTGCTGAGTTCGTGCCATATGTCTGCTGACCATCACCTTTAGAAGCCCCCTTTCGCTGAGGAGCCAGCTTGGCACACAGGCTGTGGTGTGTTGTCACGGCTACGCCATGGGACTGAAAACGGTTGCTTTGCTGTCTTGCTTCCATTTTCCATGAACTGCGTTCAGATTTGTCCTTTCCAGAGCCCAGTCCTTCTTTGGTATTTAAAACGTGGATATTCCTTCTATGTTTACGTGATTCCTGGTTAATCATAGAGGAAAATCCATGTTTTCAGTATCAAATGCTGCTTTGGAAATGCTTCCGGAAGAGACCGTAGGGCCTGATTAGGTGCAAAGATGGTGGGCCGCGCGTCGTATCTGAATGAATGGGGTGCGCCTGAGAACCATCTTGAGATGCCAACTTGGTGAAGATTAAATTGTGGGTCTTGTGGTGCCAGTTTTTCCATGGAAGCTCGTCTGCCTCATGTGACTTTCTTTTCTGATGACTCAAGCACAGGTGCGCGTTTTCCTGGATGGAATCCTTCTTTGGTATTTAAAAGGTAGATTCTCCTTCTATGAGTACATTATTTATGATTAATCATAGAGGAAAATCCACGTTTTCAGTATCAAATGCTGCTTTGAAAACCTCGGAGGACGTGAAGTCGCCATGGAAGAAGGGATGCCATCTGTACCCCTCTCGGGTACAGGACGGACAGATACAGAACTGTACTTTGTGTGAAATACGCCGTCAGCTTCTCTGCTGTTTGCTCACTGCCCTGGGCGCGTGCATAATGTGTTGTTACAAGGCTGTGTTCTCAGTATTGCCTCATTGACCTTGAACGAAGTTTGTTCTCTGTGTGTTTACCATGATTGCTATGCATTTTCTGGAATGAACCTCTTTTTCTGTGACTAGTTGTACCTTAGAGAATACCTGAGTGGGCTGTCAATTTCAGGAAGGAGCACTGCTTCAGGGGCTATGGAAGGAATAGACTTACGATTTACCCGCAGGCCTGCACTTCACACCTCGGTGTGCTGCCCTCACCATGCAGATCCCATCTGTGTCTCTCAGGCTTGCTCCTGGAGCTGGTGGGAACTTAGTCACAGTGAAAATGGCCTTCTGTCACTGCCACCATTTGCTGTTTGAAGAGAGGTAATCCTCCCTGCTTTTGGTTTACTTGCAATGATTATACAAAGGCAGACTCTCTAGGGAGCAAATCCTGCCTGGGAAGCCTTCTTCGGAACAAGGCTGACTCCAGCAATCTGTCAGATGGCCAGGATAGCCCGGGGGTGTGGATGGTTGACCACAAGGCACGTGCCTCTGTCTTGCTGTTTGTGACCTGGTTCTCTGACCCTCTTCATCTCATGCGTCCTCCCGAGAACATTCTGGAAGAGATGCTGGCTTTGGAGATGATATAAGGTTTTCTTTTCAGAGCACCTATTCTGCTTAGAAAAAAAGGGCCTCCCTTGGCCGGGCATGGTGGTTCACGCTTGTAATCCCAGCCCTTTGGGAGGCTGAGACGGTGGATGGCTTAAGCCCAGGAGTTCAAAACTAGCTTGGGCAACTTGGCAAAAACCCGTCTCTGCAAAAAATACAAAAATTAGCTAGGTGTCATGGTGTGTGCCTGTGGTCCCAGTACTTAGGAGGCTGAGGCTGGAGGATCACTTGAGCCTGGGAGTTGGGAGATTGCAGTGAGCCAAGATCGTGCCACTGCACTTCAGTCTGGCTGAAAGAGACCTCTGTCTCAAAAAAATAAGTTTTCTAAAAAAAGAAAGAACAAAGGGCCTCCCTTGATGGGCCCTGCTCATCACAAAGCATCCATGGGCTGTTACTCCGGCAGGTCTGCCCAGCATGATGCCAGCCTCTGGGAAGAGGTCTCCTGGTCAATGCCTCTCCCCGATACACGAAAGAATGACTGTCAGCAAAGTCAATGTCTAATGTAGATGTGGGTCATCTGGTCCACCCACTCTCCATACCTAGCCCATCCTTAGAGTGACTTTTGGACCTCACTGTCCACTTGAGGGAAGGCTAGTCCACAGGAAGGAGGCCCCAGAGCACCCAGTGTGGCTACGGCACTTGCTACGGGGACCTCTAAGCCCCACTGCTCTCTTAGTCCATAGGCGTCCTTTGGGGATTCTTGCCAATGGGAAGACCCTTGGATTCCTGATGTTAGTATCTGTTTATTCAGAGAGAGTTGGCCCATGAGAATCTCATTTTCCTTTGATGAATCTTGCCAATACTTTTGAGTAACAACTAGATGAATACTTTTGAGTAACAACTAACTGCTCAGATGGCTTTCTGAGTACAATGCCAGTTTCAGGAGAAGGGACACTTGTCATAGTGCTGCTTTGTGATTTGCAAATGGAATGTGTTGGATTTCTGTTTCTCTTTTTTCTTTAACGATGCATGTTACTGCATCTGCTAATCTCCCTTAGCCAGTGTTCACCAGGAGGGCTTCCTGGAGGCAGTGGCTTTGGGCAGAGGCAGAGGTTCTTCTCCCAGGGTATTTTGCAGGCCCTAAAGGGATTTCAGCCGTTTTACATTTACATTATTTCAAATGGTATGGGATTGCCTGTCTTTTGGTAACCAATCCTGTCTTGAAGAGATGCTGGGAAGTAAAGTCAACTGTATGGCAGGCCCAGCTCCAGGGACAGCCAGATGAGGCTTGTCACCTGGCCCGTCCCACTTGGTCTCAGGCCTCACACGAGGAGATGTCCACTCCAGCGAAGACCTGGCGTGGTCCTCACCTGCTCTTCGAGCCACTCTTTGGTACTTGAAGAGAGGATACCCTTTGTATGTTCACTTGATTAGTGGTGAATATACAGGGGGAGACTCTTATTTGCGTATCAAACTCTGTCGGGGAAGGCGCTCGGACCCTGCTGTCTCCAGGACAAAGCCGTGGATGTCAGCCCATCTCAGGTACAGCCTGGTTTCCCTGTCTGGGAACGTGAGCTTGGCTGTGATCCTGGCCCTTGGGTTCTGCCTTTGCCCTCTGTGCTGGTTCTTCCTGTGGACTCCCTGGAGGCAGCGGGAGAGGAGGGTCCTTTTTGTGTGCACCGAGTTTAATGGTGGTTTGCTTTTTTAAGGATAAATCACACGGATCTGCCTCTTCTCCATACCAAGTCATACCCAGAAGGCTTCCTGCTTCTGGCACTAACCTCGCACCTCTTTGGACACAAGAATGGGTGGTGGAGGGTGGAGCACGGAGCCGATGCTGCTGCTCACCTGCTACTCCCCTGACCTGCTACTCCCCCGTGGGCTTCGTCCTTGAGAGAGTGTCAGCCTTGAGGGAAGCACATGGATGTCAGGCTGTTCTAAGGCAAGTGACTGGTGGAGCTCCCTGAACCTGCCTGTGCCCTCTGGGACTGTTGCTGGACTCCAATGGCCAGTCCTCGGAGCACATTGTCCAGTGGATTGCACCTGAGTGTGCCTTGGGCAGGTGTGTCTGGTCTTCAGGACTCCTTTGTCCCCAGTGTCTGATGCTGGGGCCCTCTTTTTATTTGTTTTGAGGCAGGTACAGGTGACACATTCTTGGATCTGGTCATCTCTAGGACAGCCAGCCTCAGAGGAGGGACAGTGTCTCAGCACTCTCCAGCTCTGAGAATGCCTGCAGATGCCCTCTTCTCTGATGAGTCCATGTCTTCCAGGGCTGAGCCCTCACACCCCATGCCCCTTTGGAGAAAGGTGATGGTTCCATTGTCCATGTAGCTTGTGGGTATTTGAAGCAGGTTCACCCATGCATGCTGAGTACATTGATAGTTATGCCCACCTGTTCCGTTGTTTAGAAGCCAATCTCGCTGCAGGGAGTCCTGGATGTGCCACCTTTCAGGGCCATGCCACCACCTGCAAGGTGCAGGCCCAGCTCCAGGGTCAGCCAGATGAGGCTTGTCACCTGGCCCCTCCCCTTTGGTCTCAGGCCTCACAGGAGGAGATGTCCACTCCAGCGAAGACCTGGCATGGTCCTCACCTGCTCTTCGAGCTGCTCTTTGGTACTTGAAGAGAGGATACCCTTTGTATGTTCACTTGATTAATGGTGAATATACAGGGGGAGACTCTTATTTGCGTATCAAACTCTGTCGGGGGAGACGCTCGGACCCTGCTGTCTCCAGGACAAAGCCGCGGATGTCAGCCCCTGTCAGGTACGGCCTGGCTTCCCTGTCTGGGAACGTGAGCTTGGCAGTGATCCTGGCCCTTGGGTTCTGCCTTTGCCCTCTGTGCTGGTTCTTCCTGTGGACTCCCTGGAGGCAGTGGAAGAGGGGGGTCCTTTTTGTGTGCACCGAGTTTAATGGTGGTTTGCTTTTTGAAGGATAAATCACACATCGATCTGACTCTTTTTGGTACCAAGTCATACCCAGAAGGTTTCCTGTTCCCAGCATCAGCTTTATAAGGGAGACCTGGATGTTGCATCATTTCAAGGGGAACACAGACAGGAGGGATGCTGGAGCACGGAGCACTGGCTCTGTCTGTGCTGGTTTCCAGCCTGGTAGGCCAGCCCAGGAGGACTTCCTAGAGGTGGTATTGACCTTGGGGAAGGGTGTGAGGTGTGCTCACCAGCGTTTTTTGTTTTTTGTTTTTGGATGCTTGGGTGTTCATGATCCAGCTTGCAGTCCCCAGGCTGAATCTGCAAGAGTGGTTTGTTTCTATTTGTCGTTTGTGATTGCCCATGAAGGCAGCTCTGGGGATGAGCCGTGAGAGCCGTCAGCCCCGCACCAGGTATGTGAATGTGGGAGGTCAGAGGGCGCCTGCTTCTGCCTCGGTGTCTGTGCCCCGCCTCTGACTGTCGGCTTTCTGCTCACACCTAGGATGGCGGCCTGAGAATGGGACTCTGGTTCTGTGTTTGTGGAGACACTCCTTGGGCCGTGTGACTGCCAGCTTTTTACACCCCGACTACCATGGGGGTCATGTGGACCCGAAGCCAGCTTCAGGAAGGGCATTCGCCGCATCCTTAGCCCAAGGAAAGTGAACGTTCTGGTGAAGAGAGGTGAGCGCCAGCCTGGGTAATGAGTCACACAACCTGCCACCTAGACCGGCATCTCCTGCTCCTCTCCCCTTCTCGAGGGAGAGGCACTGTGGGGAATGGGCCGTAGGTCTGCTTCCTAAGTTACTCGGGGGTATGGGGGTTTGAGTACTGTTGACCATGAGCTCTTTCTTAGCCTGTCTTCATGGACACGATGCCAGCCTCTGGCAGGGATGGGGCAAGGGCTGGCATGGAGAATGACACTGGTGTTAACGGCTCTGTGAGATGGATGAAGGAATGGTGACCACAGGGCCTTTGCTTTGTCTAAGGCGTAAATTCATCCAGTGCCTGGGACCTCGGTGCTGAGTGCATCCTTAGGAAGACTTCCTGGAGAGGTGCTCACACTGGGAAGGAGATGGTGGTCCCAGCCCAGGGAGTTCCTGTAGAAAGGGAGAAGCTGAGCTCTGTGTGTGCCCAGGAAGGCCCGTGGGGTAGATCTCCTTTTCAGGAACAAGCCCTAATCTGGAGTGATGCCTGGAAATGAGGCTGATTCCGGCGAAGGGGTGCTGGCATCTTTGGGATGGAGAGCTGACCTATGGGCACACGGCTGGCAGGTGGTGTTTGCCACCTGGTCTGCTGATCCCGCGTCTCCCACCCCCTCCTCCCCCAGGATGAACCCCGGGAGACGAGGCCGGCCCTGTGAATGATAGTGAGGAACCTGCCCAGTGCTATTGTTTGGTACTTAAAGCGAGGTTGCCCTTTGTATATTCGGTTTATTGACATGGAATATACAAGGGCAAGCTCTCTGTGAGTATCAAACCTTGTCTTGGACCCAGTCCACACTCAGCAAGGGATGCGGTATGTGTGTGCATGACCGTGTGTATCCGTTTTGTGTGTGGCAAATTGCTCACGGGTCCCCACTTCACAGAGAGGACTTCACGGGCACATGGATGACTTTAGGGAAGGCAGTGGCCTCTGGGACATCCCCTCTCCTGGTGCAGTGTGGGTGGGGCCAAAAGCATGCACGATGTGTGTGGTCTGGGTCCCTGCTTCCTGAGCGGGCAGTCACCAGCCTGGGCTGATGGCTGGGGTGGCACTGGTGCGGGGCAGTGGCTTTGTGGTCCCTGCTGTTACTCGGTACGTGAGTGTGCATGTTCTGCTTGGGGTATGTGACCTGGTCCACTAACCCTCAGCATCTAATTCATCCCCAGGACCGCGCCTTGAAGACATACCAAGTCCACCCAAGGCAGTGGCTTTCTTTTCCGTGCTAACCTTTGGTACTTGGAGAGTGGTTATCCCTGTCCTGTTCGTTTTGCTCATGTCGAATCGTACAGGGTCATCCACTTTTTCAGTATCAAGAGCGCAGACTCTGGAGCTCGATTTCCTGTGTTTGGATCCCACCTCTGACATTTACTAACCGTCCAACTTTGGGCAAGGATCTCATCGTGCTGTGCCCGTTGTCTCCCATGTCAAATGGGAATCACATCGGCGTCTACTTCGTGGGCTGCTGGGGCTGAATGAGTTAAGACTTGTACACGGCTCAGAGCAGAGCCCGGTGGTCGGCACTTCGTAGGTGGTAGCCAGGACCCTTGTGTGCTGTGAAACTATCACTGGGGGTGGTGGTGGTGGTCTTATGACTAAAATCTCTCCGTGGGTTTTTGGAACAATGTCAAGATATGGAAGTCAAGTCCTTTGTTGGGTATGGAACGGACTATGAAGCCCAGAGCACACACGGTGTTTACAGTGGGGGCTACTGACAGTGTTGATGCTTGGCAGCTAAGCCATGCTCACGATGCTTTCGAAACACAATGCCACATGCAGTGGGGGTCAGCAGGGGTGCCGAGAACATTTGCTCCACTTAAGAGAGACAGTCTCTGGATTCTTGACCTCAGCCACTATCCACACTTTGAAGCAAACTCTTGAGCGAGAACGCCAAGCCGAGTGAGAATTCTATGGCATCTTGCTTCCCTGGTGCTTAAAGAGAGGTCAAACATGGTGCATGCATTGTGCATGCCTGTATGTGCGTGGTGTGTGTGCATGAGCGCGTGCGTGACTGGGTTTGCCAGGTAGCAGTCACCATCCAACCTTGAGCTAAAGACCTGGAGGTGGTGGTGTTCCTGTCCGTGCTGCTGTTTCATACTTGAGGAGAAATTATCCTTGGTGTGTTCGCTTTATTTATGATGAATCATACAAGGACAATTTCTTTTTGAGTATCAAATCCTGCTTCGGCAGACTTCCTGGACGCCACGACAAGTTCTGTAAAGGGACGCACGCATCAGCCCTTCCCAGGGGGCTCACGCCTGGGTGGGGATGAGGGTGCATGCAGTTAGTTTGTGGTGGGGACACTTGTGCCCTAACCTCAGAACCCTGGAGGCGGGGCCATGCTTGGCAAGGGGCCATGGGACTCCTGGGTGCTGCCAAGGATTTGCATTGGCCATGGGTGTGTGTTGTGGGTGACCCAGCATTCAAGCGACTTATCAAATCCTGCCTCTTGGAGGCACTTCTTGGACATGAAGCAAACCTTAGAGACAGATCACTGGGGCCAGACCCCTTTCCCTGCCCGAGAGTGTGACCCCCAAGGCATGGGCTTGACTCTCAATGTGTGAAGCTGACCTGCTAATCCTCATTGTTTGGACTACCTGAGAAGAACCTTCTGGAAGAGACACCAACTTTGGAGAAGATGCCCAGCTCTTCTTGATGGCACAGTTCTTTGGTGCTTAAAGAATGGCTGTCCGTAGTATGGTCTCTATATTTATGATGATTAATATCGGACAACCATTGTTTTAGTATCCAAATTTGCTTCAGAAGTTTTCGAAAGCACAGTGCTGACTTCAGCGAGGGGACATCGGTGCCTGCCCCACCATGGAGTGTGACTGTGTCATTGATTTATAATAATGAATCCAGTGATCTCAGAAGGCAAGCCACCAGTGTGATTTCCTTGGACAAATGCTAGCTTTGGGGTGGAGATGCCATTTAGGGGTTTGGTGCCATATAGTTTTATTGGAAGATGTTCACAATTATTTCATCCCTCTTTCTCTTCTTGTTATTTAATCTTAACTACGAGGAATTCCTTGGAGAGATGCCAGTGTCAAGCATCTCTCTAGATAGATGGTGGACCGGGGCATCTGGGTCCAGCCTCTCCTATCTTTAGCCTCCATTCTGAGCATGAAAACCTTCCTGTAGGGAATGCAAACATTAGTAAAAACTCAGTGCATTTTCTGTTACTACTACTACTTTTTGGCAACTCCTAAGCAGCTGCCTGTTGGGTGCTAGGATTATTCTTGGTGGACATGGCATGGCTTTGTGTCTTCCTTGGGAACCACCCCATCTCAGACAGACTCTCATGGAATAAGACATTGTGTTCGACAGCATCTCTGGGGTGTGTGTGTGTGTGTGTGTGTGTGTGTGCGCGCGCGCGCGCGCGTGCACGTGCATATGAATTGTTGGCTAGAGTAGTGTTTCTCAAACTTTAAAAATGCTCCTAAGATTTTCATCACCTAGGGATCTTGTTAAAAAGCAGATTCTGATTCAGGGACCAAGATTCTGCATTTTTAGCAAGTTCTCAAGTGATGCTAATGCCGCCGGTCTGTGGACAACACGTGCAGCGGTTCAGGGCTGGAGACCAGGTGCTTTCCCTGTGATGTGCGTCCTCTGTCTCCCCACATGCCATAAACTGTCCGTCACGGGAGAACGGCCCAGAAGTAATGTGCCATGCTTTGGTGTGTGAACAAGGGTTCACCTTCACATGCCTAAATATCACAAGATTACTTTTCTTTAAATCAAATCATGCCTCAAAAGGGCTTCCCAAATGCAAGACCTGCTTCAGGGAGGGGCCGCCGGCGTCAAGCTGCTGCAAGATTGTCGGGTGGGGGTCAACGGCATGCTGATTCATTATTGATGTCCTGGGCTCTGGAATTCTGTGTCCCTTCGTTTCCAAGCAGTCCTCGGGAGGAACTTCCAGGAACTGAGACCATCTCTGCGGTAGGGACCCTGTCTTCAGGGATCAGTGACACCCCGTTTTGTTGGAAGCAGAATTCTTCACGATGGCTTTGCTTATCTCTGACATGCATTCTGGTGGTTTCTCGTCATCAAATCCTGTCTGTCAGGAATCCCTGGAGGAAGCTTTTATAGATCTTTAATGGAACCTGCCTTAGAAGTCTTTCTGAGCATGGTTCCAATTTCAGGGTTTGGACTTTGGTGCCAGGGCCGCCTGAGCCCTGAGACTAAGGTACGGGAATGGAAGGTTGATGCCAGCATCTGTGCTTTCTCTGCAGGATGTGAACACCTCTCCCTGCCCCCGCTGCAACCCTGGGATTCAGCTCATCCTGAGAAGAATCTTCTGGAAGCAAAGACAACGGTGGGGAAGAGGCCATGGTTTTCGTTTCAGAACTATTCAAGGATATTTGAGGAGAGGTTATCCGTGTTATGTTCGCTTCATTCATCATGAATAATACATGGTTAACCTCTTTTTGAATATCAGACTCTGCCTCGGAGGGCCGCCCCCACAGGAGACGTGAGAGTGTGTGCCTTGTGTGAGCTGAGAGCCCGCACCCCGGCTCTGTGCTGTGTGAGGGAGGCTTCCTGAAAGTGAGGCCGGTGGGGGGAAGAGCCCTGGATTGCTTTGCTGTGTTTGCTGTGAATGCGATGTGTTTTTACGAGTTATGTGAGGTTCCCTCCTCTTTGAATGCCAACCTGTGCCTTCCCCCAGTGCTGGGGCTTGTGGCTTAGCCACAGGGCTAGGTCCTTTCCTGGGACAGACCCTCTGGACCTAGTGCTCTTCAGGGTGGCTCCCTGGGGGCGAGGACAAGGTCTACCACTGCCCTGGGACACTTGAGGAGAAGTTACTTCTTCCATGCAGACTCCTCTGAGGACAGCCTGTTTTTTTTAGGGTCGGATCTGGCCCAGGGTGGCTCCCTGGATGAAGTCCAGTGCCTCTGTGGGTGTGTGAAGGGCAGGGCGACTTGGGCTCTGTTCCTACTCCTCACCCAGGTCACTGGCCCAGTGCCACTTCCTCCTCAGGTCAGCTTCCCTGAGGCTCTGCCAGCCGACCTGGTGGGATCTCCTGGTCCACTGCTTGGCATTCAAAGATGCTGGCATGGTGCCAGGTTCCCTTCGCTGCCTCCTGATGGAGACCACGCAGCTAATGACTCTTTGGCTCTGTGATGCTGCCTCAGAGGGCTTCCTGCACGTAGCACCTAGTTTGGGAGGAGAGCACGGACTCCAGCATGGCCCCTGGTTATGGAGAAGGGAGGCTGTCCTTGATCCCCGGTTTGGCTGTGCCTCCACCCAGATCTCATTTTGAGTTCCTTCGTGTTGTGGGAGGGTCCTGGTGGGAGGTGACGGAGTCATGGAAGTGGGTCTTTCCCCTGCTGTTCTCAGGATAGTGAACGGGTCTCACGAGAGCTGATGGTTTCGTAAGGCGGGGTTTCCTGCACAACGTCTCTGTTTGCTACTGCCATCCACGTAAGACCTGACTTGCTTCTCCTTGCCTTCCACCATGACTGTGAGGCTTCCCCAGCCACGTGGAACTGTAAGTCCAATCAAACCTCTTTCTTTTGCACATTGCCTAGTCTTGGATATGTCTTTATCAGCAGCCTGAAAATGGACTAATACAATGGAGGACGGTGGCACCGAGCCCCGCCCCCTTCAGGATGTGGTCCCTGTGCAGGGCAGCATCCTGGAGTGGCTGCAAAGCCCCACTGCTCTCTGCCTCGATGCTTTGTCTTATCTGAGGTGGCCAGTGCGCGGGGGTCCCTGTGTGGAGTCAGTTCCGTATGGGTGCCTGCGGGTGCCAGCTTCACAGTAAGAAAACTGTCAGCTTCGCCTGAGGTATGTGCACAGAGGTGACGCAGGGACAGGAACTTTGTTGATGAATGTGTTCCCTGCGCCGCTAACCCGGAGAATTCGTTCCACCCTCAGGAGAAGCCCTAGAAGTGATGTAGGCTCTGGCCGGGGGATGCCGACGTGCTGTGAATGTCGCGGCACGGGGCTTGGTGAGGAACCGCTGGAGCGCTCTTGCACTTTTCATGACAAAGACCACACCGTTGGCCTCATTCCTGCATGGTGGGAGAATGTGTGGAGGTGTCTCGCCGCCAGAGAGGAGGCCTGTGCAGCACCATCACGAGGTACCTGGGGAAGGGTCTGTTGACGATGCCCAGTGTTCGCTGGCCCAAGCAACCAGTCCTTGGGGGACTTCTGGGCAAGACCGTTTCAGTGCTTAGCCCCACTCTGTGTCCCAGGCAGAGAGGGGCTAAATTCATGATACCTATTAAATGGTTCATTAATTCTCATTATCCTTGCAACCTGCCTGTGAGGGCCCCCCAGAAGGTAGGGCAACTCCAGGGAAATGTTCTCGCCATCAGCACGAGGCCATGGTCCAGGAGGTACTGCTGGATCAGAGGCCACAGGGCAGATTGTCAGGCCAGGTCACAGGCTTTCTCTGTCCTTGACCCTCAGCATCCAGGCTACCTACAAGAGGAGGCAGGGGGACTCCTCTGCCACACCTGGAGAGGTCTCATCCATGGCAGGTTCCTTCTACAATGCTTTCTCTGCTACTCATCATCACCTCTTTCCTGGATATAATTCCAAGGAATTATTAAAGGAGGCATTGGTGTCAGCACCTCCCAAAATACTTGTAAAGATGGCCCATGGCAGAGCCTGTGCCTTCATTAGAAGTAAGCAGTGGCCTCCAGGCTCTGGAGGCCTCGGGGGCAGAGCAGCGTCCAGGCTGACTGTGGGGCCTCGCCTGGGTTTGCGGCTCATCATATTGGACCGCTGTTTTTCAGGACAGACTCCCTGGAGAGGTCCCTCGGCAGGACCCTGACCTGAGGGTCAGGGCACTGTCCATGATAAGGGAATGGATGGTTGATCAGAGAACGTACATTTTATAAATGGTGTATGTCAATTGATCCACAGTCCCTACCCATCCAGTGACTTCTCCTGGAGGCCACATCAGCTCAGAAGAAGAGGTGGTGGTTTCCTAGGCCATGCTGTTATCTGGCACTTGAATGGACCGTCTCCTTGCCAGGTTTGTTTTTTTTTGTGCCGAGTCTCATGAGGGAGGGTTGGTGCCTTTTTTGAGTATGGATATTGCCGGGGAAGCTTTCTGGAAGGAGCTGTTGCCCTTCATCCCTCTTCAGGGGCAGGAATGCGTGGTTGACTGGGAAGCATGGGCTTGATTGACATTGTGCACCCCTCAACTCTCCTAACCCTCTGTCCCCAATTCATCCTCAGGCAGACTAGCTGGAAGGAAGGTAGACTCTGGTGAAGATGTGGGCCATCAGCGTCAGCCTTCGGTACTTGAAGAGTGGTTATCCCTGCTGTGTTCGCTTTATTTATGACGAATCATACAGGGACATCCAGTTTTTCAGTATCAAATACTGCTTTGGAGGGCTTCCCGGACAGCGTCCCGCCTTCAGGCAGGAGGTGTTGGCTTCCTTCGCCTCCCACCCAAGGTATGAATGTGAGCGGGCCATCGCAGGACACGAGCTTCCTCACGTGCCACAGCCATGACCAGAATCGAATCTCTGAGGAAGATGGCTGCTTCCAAGGCTGTGATTTTCTGGAAGGGGCTTTGGTGTCTACACTACATTACTGGGGGAGGTTGACCAGTGAGAAGCCCATTCACACAAGACGTCTGTCACCTGCTCCAAGTGACCCTCACCCTTGGTAAGATGAATCCCTGGAGACATGCTGACTTGGTAGTGTTACTGTCATCAGCCGGACTGACTGATAGGTAATTGGTCATCATTATTGCTTTTGTTCCAGGGCAGAATTTTTGAGTGTCAAATCTTGCCGGGGAAGGGTTTCTGGAAGTAGCTGTGCCCTCTGGGGAAACTTGGCATCCACATCTTTTACAGTTTGTGGAGAGTTAGTTGAGTAGTCTGAGCTTTGTTTCTGAGGCGTCTCCCTCAGCTCACTCTCCTGCCAGAGCTGTGTCCTGCCCATGGCCATAATGGCTGTTGAGAGGGTTGGTGGCTTTGGCCACCATGATTTTATTTATCAGGTTTTCTCTTTTTACAAAATCAGATTCTTTTGTTTTTAGCATAACTACATGGTTCATGAATTGATCAAATAACAAGGAATGACTTGGTCAGTCCATAAACAGTGATGGAGTGCACACTCTATTCTTGGTGATTCTGGACCTTAGCATAGAGCAGAGAACGAAATCAAGTTCTTGCTCACGTGGACTTTACATTCTGGTGGAAGAGATGGATGAGAACACATGAATTAGGAAGTGTAATTTTGTCCACTGCTAGGTTTTATGGAGAAAGGGAAAGCAGGTTACAGTGACAGAGGTAAAAGCAGGTGGACCTTTGTGTTAAATACAGGGGTCTGGAGAGCTCTCTCTGAGGATGTGGGTGGGAATGGAGTGGGCTGGACCAGAGGAAGATCTGGGGTAGGAGCATTTCAGGAAGAGGGCAAGGCCCATGGAAAGCCCCCTGACATCTTTAAGAAAAAGCAAGAAGGCCAGTGGGATTGAACCGAGCTGCTGGGAGTCACTGGGTCTGAGCTGGGAGAGGCAGGACTCCAGGTTTTATTCTGAGTGAGATGGGGGATTTGGAAGGGTTGTGAGCAGGGGGGATGCATGGTCTGTGTTGGAAAGATCACTCTGACCACAAGGGCATTGATAGAGAACCCACCCAGGGCAGTGATGGGGAACCCACCAGGGGGCTGGTGTGTCTGAGCTGGGCAGTTTCTCCAGGGGCACCTGCAGTGGCAAAAGGGGGCTCTCTCTGGACCTCCCCCATTCAGTGGGCCCTGCGGGAGCTTGGCTGGCACCTTGATGTGCTTGATGGATAACTCAGTGTGCTCTGTTGAGAAGTCCAAGGCCTTGTTCAGAAACCCTGGGGTCTACACACTGTGGAGTGCTCCTGGCCTGCGACAAGTGGCCTCCCTCTTCTCATTTCTAAACCTTGCGCGTGTGGATTCAGGACCAAAATTTCGACTCCAGGGAAGGGGGACTGTGCCAGCACCACTCCGGGGGAGGTGAGTGGAGGGTTGCCCAAACTCCAGGGTGTTCCTAGAACACCTGTCAGCTGCCTCACTCATGCTCGGTGTCCACTCTGTCCACAGGATGGTGGTTGGCAGCCACTCCCCTTGGAGAAGTGGAAGGGGACTCCTTGTCTGTCTTGTCTCTGCTTTTCTGTGGTACTTGAAGAGAAGTTGTTCGTGGTGGATTCGCTTTACTTATGACGAATCATTCACGGACAACACTTTTTTCAGTACCAAATGCTACCTCTAAGGACTTCCTGGACACAATGGCAGCTTCAGGAAACATAGTCTTTGTGTCAACCATGTGGAAAAGCCAAGAATGGATGGCGGGCCATGGACAGTGTGCTGACCTAGCTGTAAGTCACCTGGCCCGATAACTCGAGCGTCCTATGCACCTATAGGAGGCCTTCCTGTGGGTCTCGCCAACTCTGGGGAATCAGCTGTGGTTCTGTCACCAGCGTCACCTCACGAGACTTTGAAGAGAGGCTCCCTGGGCCCCAGGCCGACTTCCAGAAGAGATGTTGGTGTCAGCACCGTCCAGGGTGTGTGACTGGTTGACCAGAGGGGCGTGCACTGTGTTCACCCTGTGGGCCACCTAGTCACCAACCCTCAGCATCACTCCCACCCCAGGAAGACTTTCCAGAGCTCCCACCAACTCTGGGGAAGCGGCCATGGACTTGCTGTGACTGCTTGGTGGACCGGGATGACACGTACTCTTGCGGGGGTGTGTTTACTTAAAATGCAATGAGTCAACCTTGGCCTCCTTGAAGTGTTGACTTCCGATGTTGGACGCCACATTGTCTTCTGTTGAGGGACCTGATGCAGGCCAGTTTTTCTCCTGGGTGTGTGACTGAATCCTTCTTCCCAGAGCATGTGCTGCATTTATTAGGGCTGTCACCTTGTCCTCTAATACCCAGCATCCTGTCTCTCCCTAGAAGGCTCCATGGAGGTGCTGCGGCTTTGGGAAACAGCCATGATTCTCCTGTCGGGAACAAGTGAGCTACACAGAAGCTCCCTGTCTTGCCCAGGAGGACGAACTGCATCGTTGCTGCTGGGGAGAAGGCAGTGCCCTCAGCACTCCCCTAAGGTAAGTGCGCCTCGGGTGAGCATGCACTTAATGTGGGTGTATGTCACTCGGCTCGGCCCACTACCCAACGCTATCCCACCCATTCCTAACAGGACTCCCGAGAGGGGCGGCCACCTCTGCAAGAGAGGCAATGGATTACTACTCACCAGTGTTCATGTGTGGTACTTGGAGAGAGGCTGGCCGTGATGAATTCGATTCATCAAAGCGAGTCATACACGGCTCTCCTCTCTTTTAGTGTCAAATTCTGCCTCGGAGGGCTTCCTGAGCTGCTTCCAAGGTAGGTTTCTGGATGGCTGAACCCATGGCAAGCACTTTTCTGAGGATGCATGTGACTGACATACTAACTTTAGAGTCCAGGCTGACCCTCAAACAACTTCCTGGGGCACTACCAGCTTTAGGAAAATCGAGAGAGGTTGTTGGGATGCCCTAATGTTTTAGAAGTTAAGATTGAAATATACATGGCTGACTTCTTTTTTCATTCCTATCAAATTCAACCTTGCAGTTGAATCTTGGGCATCTAGAAGCATCTTGAATAGTCAGCCCTCGGGATACAGAAGAGAAGAGAAACAGGACTCTGTGTGATCCCTGGTTTACTAACCCACAACAGCCTCACACCCTCCAGAGAATTCCTTTAAGGGAATCCCAGGTTTACCAAGGAGGCAGTGCTTAGCCTGCTTTTGCAGACACATTTGTGTGTGGTTTGCTTCATTTTTAATGACTCATGTGCCACTGACATCTTTGCATTATTAAGTGTTGCCTGCATGGCCAGCTGAGCACAGGAAGTGGTATTTCTGTGCGCACTAATCCTGGGTTGGTGAACCTGGGGTTGGCTGGAGAGCATGGGTTTGAGCCACCTGGTCCACTCATCCTCAGGGTCCCATCCACCCTCAGAGGCCACTCCCAAGCTGCCCAGGCTGTGCAGAAGATGCAGGAATGCTGTGAGCAGTGCCACCTCATGGTACTCGGAGGGAGGTTGTCCGTGGTGAGTTCGCATTATTTAATGATGCCCAATACACGGTCGACCTCTTTTCGGTATCAGATCTCACCAGGTGTCTTCTTGGACCTGATGCCGATTTAGGGGACACCATACTCATGTTGGTTCCACACCAGTGCAACTGAACATGTGTTTGGCCCTGTAACCAATGGGTAGGTGCTGCTAGCACTCCTAATCCTCAATCCGTGCATTCCTGGGGAAGAAGCACGTGATCTGTGCTCAAGACCCCTCTGTGACTGAGGAAGTGGTGGTGCCCAGGTTGCTTCCTGGGTTTTGTATTTTTTTTAAAGAAAAATAATATATAGTTCTCTTCTCTTTCACTGTTAAATCTTGTCATGGAGGAAGGACTTCTTAGACATGTTGACAAATTCAGGGAAGGGGCATTGATTTCAGCGTTTTTGGGGACTCACTGGAAGGGTGATTCACCACATCTGTTGATCTGGAGGCCACATCAAATTTAAGAACAGAGGATAGTTGCATTTTCAATTTCTTGTTTTTCTTTTCAAAAAGGATAATTATTCTACCTTATTACCATATTTATAAAAATGACACATGCTTATGATAAAATTCAAGCGATGTGGAAAAATCTAAATGAAAAAGAGGGAAAATTGCCCGATTCTCTGGGCACCCAGAAATAACCATTAAGGGCTTTAGAAATTTCATACACCTGTCTGAGCATACATGCAAACAGAAAAACAAGACAGACACAGAGAAAATATGAGATCACACTGTACCTAATCATTTTATTAAAAATGCTAACTATAATTTTACTTCAATTTATCATAAAGAACAAGCTAAAGGAGATTGAAATGATTGATAAATATTTCTCGCTTCACTGCCAGAGGTAGCAACTCCTAAAAGATCCCCGTAAAATTAAGAAAAATTAGTGTGTAAAAATTAAGTGGTTGGGATTGTTACGGTTTTTAACTATTTCAGTTTCACTCCTAGTTCAGAAAGATAAAGAAGTCAGCACTTTTATTCTTTGCTTATTATCTCCTGCTTTTTCTCAGTTATATATTTTAATTTTACATTATAAATATCTGCAATTTGTTCTAGAACTATAATTCTTGCAAGTGTTTAGCCATAGTTCTATATTTAAATGAATTCATTTCTGACCACAAGGTTTGTTTGTTTGTTTTAACTGAGGTTTCTCCATTCTTTAGTTTTTAACTTTAATTTGTCTCTCAATGGAATTGATCTTATTGTTTTTGTGAGAATAGCTCATAGACACTACCCTTGAGTTCTGGTGCATTTACGAATATGTATCTCTTTCTTTTATGCGTAAGGGACAGCTTAGCTAGGAATAAAAGTCTCAGCCTACTTGTTTTTTCTCAGAAATTTATAGCTGTTGTCCACTGTCTTTTGCATTGAGGCTTTCACTAGCTGTCTTAATGTGGCTTCTCCATGTAGCCCTTACTTACCTGGACTATTTTATGTAGTGATCTTCACAAACCTTGTTAGAAACACTTTGGGATACTGTGTTCTGTGAGGTATTTCATCTTTGAGAATGTCTGACCATTGCTCTTACACCTTTTCTCATCTGTCCATTTTTTTTCATTCTGTTCTATTTGGCCTTTAAAGATATGTATTGTATAATTTCTTTCAGCTTTAGGGATACAAGCCCCTTTCTTTGTTGAATCTATTGACTCTCATGATGGTGCTTTTCTTTGTGGTTTTTGTAGCTTTGTGTTGTGAGGTTATCATCAGTTGAGCACTAAGGTGTTTCTGTTTTGTTTTAATCCCTATGTACATGAGTTTGCATTTGGTTCTGCCTGGCACCCCAAGGAATTTACCAGTTGGTGCCAGTTTTCTAACTCATTTTGTTGGCTTACGGATTCCCAGACATATGGTTGGCATAAGTCCTCACCATATCTTTGTCCTGAAGCTTTGGTATCTCACAGGAGACCTCTTTCTATCCACTCCCTAAAAATGACAAATACTCTTATCATCCCTGGCTATTATAAAATTTTCTGGTTCCCCTTTCCATTCCTAGGTCAACTTCTCCTGGACCCACGGTCATGTCTTTTTATTCTGCTTATACTTGAACTGGACTATAGACTCTTGGAGCCTCTAGCTAGCACAGCACCCCTTAGGTCCCTTAGTAGCAGGTTGCAAACATGTTGCTCTGAACTAATTTTTTTCATTAACACCTGAGGGTTTTGCCTTTCAGTTGTATGTTTATTTGGGAATTGATTTTGGCTGTGGTTGCATTTTATCCAACACTTCTCAACATTTTTGGAGGAGAGGGTTCCTTACCAGCGCTTGTTGCTGGGATGGAGCCTTTGAGCTGAATGATGGGTGAACTTGGCATGACATTCTTGGCTCCCAGTTTCTTCCCTCTGAACTTTGTAAACTTTGCTCCATTGCTTTCTGGTATTAAACCACTGCTGTGGACAAGCCTGGGGACAGCTTCTTTCCCCTTAGATGGATGAATTTTTTTTTTCCTGCTTAGATTTCCTGATTCTTTCTTCAGTCTTGAATATTGGTGACTTTACCGGGTTATGACTCAATCGCTATTTTTATTCATTAGTTTTTCTGAATCATAGTATGCCTTCTTGATGAGTAGATTTAATCATTCCTTTGTTTTGAGGATTTATTCATGTTATGAGCACTTTTCTACTCCAGTAGTTGGTCTTTTCTTTGGTGAAATAATCTGTTTTGTTCATTTCATTATGTGCTGGAGGAGAAGAAAGTCTGTCATCTGGCCCCTTGCTGCCATCTCTGTCTGCACATCAGTCTGTTGTCATTTGCACTGTGCATTTGTCTACTTAAAACAATCCTACCCAGATGCCCCCTCCTCAGTGTCACCTTCCACCCTGGCAGGATGCCTTATGGCAATGCCCACTTCTGAGATAGTCGTGGGAGCCAGCACCACTGGCCAGGTATGTAAATTTTCTGTTAACAATGGAAGATTTTGAAAAACCATATATGCTGTACCATTAACCTGAAGCATACAATCTATCCTTAGGAAGAATTCCTGGAAATTATGCTCACCTTTGGGGATGAGGCCATGATTCTGAGGTCAGTGCCATGCCATGGTCTAATGAAGTTTGCATTCAATGCTATTTGTTTCTTTATGATCAGTATTGTAAAGTCAATCTCTTTGTCATGGACTCAGCTTTGGAGGACTTCCCGGACACAAGGCCTGTGTAAGGAAAGGATTGTTACTGTCAGCCTTGATGCTAATGTGAGATAAGGGAATGTATCCTGCTCTGATCCAAATGCCGAGTTTCTGTGTACTTGGCCTCTCCACCATCAGGCTCCCTGGAAGTGCTTCTCAGGCGTGCACCCACCTTGACTAAGGCGTTGAGGTCTGGATGGCTACAGGGTCCAGGATGGGATGGTTGAATATGGGGCGTGTGCTTTCTTTTCAACCCTCTTGCAGTCAGTCTGCTAACCCTCAATGTTCACTGTCTCCTAGGGCGACTTCCTGGAGGAAGCCAGCTTTGGGGAAGAGGCACTGACACCGGGTCTGTGCTAGTGTGAGGTACTTGAAGATAGGTTATCCGTGTTGCCTTCGCTTTATTTGTGACGAATCATACACGGTTGACCTATTTTTCAGTACCAAATCTCGCCTTGGAGGGCTTCCTGGAGCAGAATCTCACTTCAGGGCAGGACCTTGGTGTCAGCTCCTCTCCAGGGTAAGCAAAGGGACCGTTGACCATAGCTGACCCAGCAGAGAATGTGGTTTCCTGAGGCCGTGTGCTCCGGCCTTAACCCTGTGTGTGCCCCATCCTTGGGGAGGTTTCTAGAGATGGTACCAGCTTTGGGGAAGAAGTGGGGCTTTTCCTCTCAGAGCTACTCTGTGGTACTGGTGGAGAGGTCTTCCATGATGCCTTCAATTTATTTTTTTACCAATCCTACATAGTGGACCCTTTTGAAAGCATTAAATCTAGCCTTGAAGCACCCTCGGGTGGTGCCGAGTTTAGGAACTAGAACTGGTGTCTGAATGCCTGGACGGATGGCGACGCTGACTGTGTGCACACTCTTCTTGGTGGACCGTGCACCTGCAGGCGTCCTGCTTGCTCACCACGGCGGTTTCCTCCAAAGAGGCAGCAGCTCCCTTGTCAGCTCACTTTGTGTTTGACAAGACGCCGTCTTGCTGTCTTCCCTGCTGCCCTCTCTTCACGTATCACAGAAGGTGCTCTGCAGACCTCTCTGCTGTGGCACGTCCCTCCCTGAATGGCTTCCTACAAGAGACGCTAACTGCAAGTAAGGGATGGAGTACGGCCCGGACCACACAGTGTGTCTCATGGGTGGTCTGTTGCCACCTTCCTGACTCTCAGAATCCCGTCCGTCCTCAGGCCTGCTGCTGGGACGCGCTGGAAGTGAGCGCCCAAGTCAGGTACTCGAATGGAGGTTGTCCATGGTGTGTTCATTTTATTTATGATGAGTATTACATGGCCAATCTCCTTTCGGTACTCAATTCTTCTTGGGAAACGTCACGAGGGGCAAGCACAGCCGGCACCTGCTCAGGGTAAGGAAGTGGATCACCTCCGCGCGGCAGGCACGCTCTGTGTGACTTACATCACTTGGCCCAACGTCCCGGCCATCATTAGGAGGAATTCACCGAAATGATGCTGACGTTTTAGTTGACATAGTGGTCTTCTAGTCACGTCCTTGAAGACTCATTAGTGAATAAACCACATTTAGTCAACCTTTTTAGGTGTGAAATCATCTTGGCTGTGTGGCACACTTTAGGGAAAGGAGCTCCTGGCTGAATGGAAGACATTCACATTACCCCCTCAAATACCTTATCTTCGGGGTGACCCTTGGGAAGCAAGGGGTGGAGGGGGTCTCCTCGGCAGTGATAATTGATGTTGTTTAAAGACGTGTGCGTTTCCGTGGCATGACTCGGTTATTCCTACTGCAAGATGAGAATCATTAATAGCATTTATTACTATCTTATGTTGCCAGCTGTGTGCCCTTGGAAAATCCCTTCACCTGTCAGCTCTGTGGGCCTCAGTCTCTTTCTCTGTAAAGCAGGGTTAACAGGGGAGTAGAAGTGTGCTCTTTGTGAAATGTCTAGACAGCGTCCGGCATGTGGCTGTAGGATAAGCATTGTTTCTGAGGGTGGTCCTTATATGGATGTTACGTCATCTGCACTCATTGTCCTCTTGCCGCTAGAATGGAAGCTCCTTGAGGGCAGAGTCCTTGTTTGTCTTGCCTGGTGCTGTGTCCCCAGGTATGCACAGTAGGTGTGATGCTGAATGAATGAATAGGCGGCGTGACCTGTTTTCTTGGTTGAATTCTCTTTGAGGCCTCCTGGAATGGAGTGCATGGAGGACAGTCACCTGAACCTGTGCTGTCCCTGTGACACAGCCCCACCCACCCTCTGAGGATGCTGCACTGGAAGAGGAGTCGCCAGCCTTCAGGTCAGGTCCTCCCTCAACCCCCTGTGTTGAGGGACCTTGGTATCCCAGCCCCCCTAGGATAGGTGACCAGGGGCTGACTCGAGCTTGGGCTGACCCACGCTGTGTGTGCGCATGGCCTCACCCACACCGCCTGCTCCACGGCTACAGGAGCTGGTCCATGGCCAACAATGTTCCGACCACTGCCTGGGGGGCTCCTCGGAGGTAGAGAAAGAGAGAGAGAGAGAGAGCAAGAGGGGAGAGAGGGAGCGAGCAAGCCAGCAAGCCTGCAGCTGGAGTCAGCAGGGAGGCCCCGGAGGCAATGCCACCTTTGGTGAAGAGGCATCTCGGTGTGTTCTTGCCTGTGCTGACGTTTGACCCTTGAGCAGAGGTTGCCCTTGGTGAATTCGCTTTATTTATGTTGAATCACACAAAGGCAACTTTTGTTTGAGTATCAAATCCTGCTTGGGATGGCTTCCGGGACCCAGTGGCAAGCTCAGGGGCATCTACGCCCCTCCCGTGAGCAAGAATGGACGGGGTAGACGTGGGTGGTCTGCCCTCTGCAGTCCTCTGCGGTGGATGAGAACAGATGTCGATCAGAGAACACAAGCTTCATTCATGATGGGGGCGGGGCCTGCGGCCCGGGGAGGATGGCGTTGGTGTCACGTCGGCTTTGGCTCTTACCCTGGACCCTGTCTCTTCATATCACCGTGTTGGCTGTGTTGATCCCGAAGACGTTTCGACCGCACCAAGTTTTTTTCAGAAGATATTTGACCTTGCGGATAAACAAAGCGCTCACCCCCCTCCCCCCTTGGCAGTGTCTGTGACGAGGCTGCAGCCCCAGACCCCTGTCTCGCTCACAAGTGCTGTGTTTTTTTTCTATGCCTTTCCTTGTCTCTATTTTTCTCTTTCTATCCCCCAGCCAAACATTGGTCCCAATTTTCTCCTGGGTTATGAAATAAATAGAGGCCATCAGTATCTCATCCCATTTGTATTAAATAATAGTGATAAAAATAATCAACACAAAATAAAACTAAAAGCAGCTGAAACGGCACAGCACTAAATGTGTTCAGTTGAGTACAAATTGGCAGAAGAATCCAATTTTCTTGACAACATTTCGGCTGCGACATTTGACCTGGGGAAATAGAAAGCTGCCGACGTGGCAGCCGCAGAAGGAAATTGACGGTGGCGGCGGCGATAAACAGTAATATTCGATGTAGACAAAAGCACATTGAGGAACCAAATCTTTATTCAGATTTTTAAATGGAAAGGAATTGATCCTAATGAAAATGATTTGGGGAAAATAACAAGGGAAATAAAAGAAATGCAAACAGCTCAACAGCGCAGTCAAGACAGCTAAACAGGGAATTGGATTAGTGTAATGGCATTCGCTCTGAAAAACACGTTTCTATGAAAATCAGTGTTGGTGCAATTCTTGTGAAGATGGTTACATTTGTGTATTTACAGTGGAGTTGCTGGGGTCAGTAGGAATCTAGGGTCAAAAAATGGGATACAGTCTCTTCCCTTATGCAGTTGACCTTTCCTTTCTGTGCCAAACCTTCCCGAGAGCTTCCTGGAAAGGTGTGCTGACTTCAGGTGTGACACACTGCTAAGGCGTCCTCCCGGGGATCTGGGTGCATGTTGTCCCCAGAGTATTCACTATGTAACTGACAGGCATCACCTGGTCTCCCTCCATCCCCATGGAGGGTTCTGGGTGAGACGCTAACTCGAGGGAAGCAGAAGTTCTACCATCAGTGGGGTCTGGTCTTTCAGGACAGTTGCTTCTGTGAGCCCAGGAAATCTGAGACAGCTCTCAGTTAATTTAGAAGGTTTATTTTGCCAAGGTTGAGGATACACCCATAACACAGCCTCAGGACGTCCTGTGGTCAAGGCACAGCTTGGCTTTATACATTTTAGGGAGACATGAGACATCATTCAATATACGTAAGAAGTACATTGGTTTGGGGCCTGCAAAGGTGGGATGACTTGAAGCGAAGGCAGGAAGAAGGAGGGAGCCTCCAGGTCACAGATGGGTGATACACAAACAATTATATTCTTTCGCATTTCTGATGAGCCTTTCCAAAGGAGGCAAATCAGATATGCATCTGTCTCAGTGAGCAGAGGGGTGACTTTGAATGGAATGAGAGGCAGGTTTATCCTGAGCAGTTTCCAGCTTGACTTTTCCTTCGTGATTTTAGGGACCCGAGATACTTTCCTTTCACACTTCCGAGGCTGTTGCTGAACACACAGGAATCCAGGAACACTCTGAGGTTTAGTCCTTCCTCAGACTGTGCTGTTGACACCTTACATGGTTCCATGCTGGTCCCAAGGACACGCCCTTCGTTGGTGCTGAATGTCAGTTGGTCATGGAGGCTGAAAGTCATTCTGGAGTTGATGTTTCCAAGGTCAGAAACCTTGCCGGGGCTGTGGAAAGAGCGCGTTGTTTGCTGGCGTTCTTTGTCTGTGACCAGCATTGCACATGGCTCTCTTTTCAGATCGAGCCCTACCTGGAGAATTTCCAGAAGCAACAGCACCCTCAAGAGGCAGCCTGCAGCCAGAGCCCTCTCCAGGGTAGGTGCCTGAGGGCCGCCCATGGGACAGCCCCGATTGTACCCATGGTGTGTGTCATCTGCTCCCCTCCTGCCGACTCCAGTGCGTTCCGGGACCACCTTGGGAGGTGATGCCTGCCCTGGGAAGGAGGTTCTGCTGCAGGTCAGTGCCCATGGCTCCTGACGGGAAGTCGTCTGTGACATCTTTTCTTTCTTTACAGCAGGCCCCGCATGGCAGGCCCCTTGCTCCACTTGTAGCAAGATGCAGAGGGCTCTCAGCTCATGCCAACGTCAGGGAAAGGATTCTGCTGTCGGTCCCACTCCAAAGTGCATAGAATGGGTGGTGGGCACAGAATCCGGACTCTGCTTGTGGCATCTGTCGTCCGGCCCGATGCTTGTTGGCTGCCCGCTCCAGGAGGCACCTTCTGGGTGTTCTCTGAGTCTGGGGAAGGTTGGGTTCTGAGGTCAGGGCTGCCCTGACCCTTGTAAAGAGAAGACATCTGTGACTCTCCTGCTTTCTTCTGCGGCATTTATCCCCCCAGTCCCTTATTTTTAATGTCTCACTTGCTTTATGAGGCTAATCAGATGGTCAGCCAGCTGTTGATAACTGTGAAGTCACCCTCTGAGGGATCCTGGGGTGATGGCTCTGTGGGCTGGAGATGGTGCTGGTGAGACCGCGGGTCTGGGATCAGCGGTGTACCCTGTTGAGCTCCTGCCAAAGGCATCCTCTGCTGGGAGGGAGGCTCTGTGCTTGTGCAGGGGTCCCTATAGGGTCACCCCCTCTCAGGGTCTGGGAATGAAAAGCGGGTGCGAGCAGCCGGGTTTCATCTTCATCTTTAGCAAGGTGCCCAAGGAAGGTTGCCGTCTTTTCAGTATAAGATCCTACCTGGGTCTTGCACTCACCTTCTGGGAAGAGTCTCCAGAGTCATTCTGGAAGGGATTGGAATGGTTGGACTTGGCAATTGGGAATGTCCTTGGAGAGTGTGAGACTCTGGTCTCTGAATGTCCAGACCTTGTGCTGCCCTTGGGGGAGGGTCTTCCGCAGTCACGGCCGCCTGCAAGCATCCTCCTTAGTTCGAGCATCTGAGCCTCTCCATGGTACTCGGGGAGAGGTTACCCGAGCAACTTTGCATCTGGACGACGAATGTTGCTCGGTGAACCCCTTTTCGGTATCAAATTCCACCAGGGAGGCCGTCTTGGAGGCGGGGGCACCTCGGGGAAGGACGCCAGCATCAGCACCATTCTGGGGTACAGGGATGGATGGTCGACCAGTTGGAAAGTAATTGTTTCTAATGTACTTCACCTGGTCCACTAGCCGTCCGTATCCGCTGCAGCCTGTGGGGCCTGCGGGCCGGGGAGCCGATCGCGCTTCAGCTCAGCGCCTTTCCTGGTACTTGAAGGGAGATCGACCGTGTTATATTCGCTTTATTGACTTCGAATAATACATGGTTGATCTTTTCTCAGTATCAAATCTCACCTTGGAGGACCCGTTGGAGATGAAGCCCTTTGGAGGGTGGGAGCGGGACAGGTGCTTTGGAGTCACGGTCTCAGTGGGGACCTGGTCACTGAGGGTGGGCCGGGCGGGGTCTCTTTCCTGTCTCTGTGTCTTCTCACCTTTGGTGTCCCATCCGTCCTCAGGACAGCTTCCCGGGGGCGACGCTGGCACCACAGGACGCAGCAGCCACATTCTTGAGCCGATGGCCCTCTGGGTACCTGAGGAGAGGTTGTCTGTGATGAGTTCGCTTTTATTAATGACGAATATAACACAGATGGCCTGTTTTCAGTACCGCTACCGCCCAGTGGTGTGCGGGCGCCACGCCTGAGGTGGGCCTTTTCAGGGTATGTGAATGCATGGGCTGACGTGACATTTGTCATCCTTTCCACTGACCCCCGCCATCGAATCATTTTGGGAGAGCTTTTGGGGGGCCATGTGGACTTTGGGGAAGATGCTGGGGTTGTGCACTGGGGTGGGGAGCGGTCATGAAGCTGATGAGCAATGGGTGACGGGGCTCAGTCTGTTTTTCATGGCCAGTGCCATCAAGGCAGAGGACTAGGGGGAGCTAGTCCTGCTGGAAGGCATCCTGCTGCAAGGCCACCCGCCCCTTGCCAGGGTGTTGGGGGCGGCTGCATGCATTCCCTGCACCCAGGCTGCTTCTGCTCGTCCAGTGCTATGAGACCCTGGGTGGGAGCCGGTGCCTTGGGTGGCCATGTGTGTGTGCTGCTCCCCACAGTGCCTGAGGAGAGGTGGCCTGTGTTGCCTTCACAGAAATCATGACACACAAGACACGATCAGTCTCTCTTCAGTGTCAGATCCCGCCTGCATGATTCCTGCACCTGCTGATGTCGGGGAGGGCCAGATGTGCACCCTGGGGGACCCCAGAGGCATGGCTGGTGGCCGAGCAAGTGCTTGACTTCCACCTGCAGCCCTGTGCTGGCCTCCGCCCTGGAGGCAGGTGGCGGGTGGCAGGGCCTGTCACTGAGGAAGGAGCCTCCTCCCTGGAGTCAGCGCTGCTCAGTGGTACCTGAAATAGGTTGCCTGTGAGGTGTTCACTTTCTATATGCTGAATATTATACAGTCAACCTCTTTCCGATATCGAATCCCACCTTGGATGCCTTCCTCTTCGCTGCTGACTCCAGGCAGCAGCTGTCTCTGCTCTGGTTGACCCTATGGACTTTGTGTAGGGCCTGTGTCACCTGGCCTGTTAACTTTCCAGCTCCACCCTGTTCTGGAGGGCTTTGGAAGTGTGACAGAATGGCATCCCCGATTCCAGTGTCAGTGGCAGCACCCGCCATGCCCTTGCTTCCGGTTGGCACGTCCCCCAGGCTGGGCTGGCCTTCAGCTACCTGATGCTTATGTCATATTTGCACCCCTGGCCTGCCCAGACTACAGGAAGATGACCAGAGGCCTGTTTGCAGCTGACCTGGAGACTTAGTGACTCCAGAATGTGCTGCCCATGCCCAGGGTCCAGGGCCAAAGGCAAGGAGCACCTCAGGAGTGACCCCAAAGAATGAGCTACGGCTGCCCTTTACCGCTCGTTGTTGATCAGTGAGCTCCTGGGCTCGGAAGGTCTTCGTGAGCCTGGCTCCCATCATCCCGATTGAGACATCGCCGCCTTGGAAGTCGCAGCCCTGTGCCTGCCTTCCCTCTTGTGGGCTTCTCCTCAGGACCGCTCCCCTCTGTGCCCAGCATGGGAGTGAGGATCCCCAGCACCGTCCCTCTGGGCTGCTGCTGCCACTCTCCCTCAGCACCCCTGTTTCCCAGCCCCTGGGCCACACCCTGCTGGAGAGGCCGGCCCCACTAGCTAGGCCCCTCTGGTCACTTGGGTCTCCCTCCAGTGCCCCCTCCCTCTGCCAGGGAGAGCATTTGCAAGTGCAGAGTCCAGCTGTTTACCTGCACTGCCCAGAGCACCTCTGCAGGCCCCTTCCCTTGGGCTTGGTGCCAAGATGGTCCGAGGACTCCCCAGGCCCCAAGAGTGGCAGCCCCCCTCTTCTTTTGGAGCCACAGCCTATCCCCCATGTGTTTCCATCCTTCGTTCTGGCCCTGCACACGCCCCTCCTTCCGGAGCTGAGTCCTGGGCGGCCCTGCTCTGCCCTCGGCTACCTCCTGTCCAGGCTCCAGCCCTTCCTTCCTTAGAGGGCCACATCCTTTGCATTTTCCTTTCCCAGGGGTTCACACTTCCCAAGGGGATGGAATGTCTCTTGTTCAGCAAGGTCATCCCTGATAACCCTGTAAAAGCAGCTCTTCCCTTGCCTCTTCCCCATCACTTTGTAACAGTTGCCCCGTTACTGTTTTCTTCCTAGCTTACAGCTCTCTGAAATTGCTTAATGTTAATGTCTACTTTCTCTGTGTCCTAGACTGTGAGATCTGTCATTGGCAGAAATTTCTCTCTCTTTCTCTCTCTCTCTCTCTTATCCTCTGCTGTGTCCCCAGCACTGAAACAGTAGCAGAACAGTGAGTGTTTGTTGACTGACTACTGGAGTCCCCGAAGACAGGGACTGGATCAGGTGAATCCCCAGGCAGGTGCAGGGCACAAAAGCAGGCAGTCAATAAGATGTGGTGATGGAGTACATGGATATGTTAATCGAGTTTTAGAAATTCTTCCCATTTGTTCAAAGCTGTTTGGTTTTCCAGCTTTTTCTACCCTTCCAGGATGAGGCTGAGATTTGTTGCAGGAGGCACAAGTCAGCTGGGTCTGGGTTCTCTCTTCCACTTTCCAGAGGGTAGTGGCACCAAAGCCCCAGAGGCAGTGACAAGCCCCGTGTCCCCCTGCAGATGCTGACTGAGCGCGCCCCTGCCCCTCCAGCAAACGCCCCAGCGCTGAGAGCCAGATGCTCTGGGGAACTCCATCTGCAACGGGCTGGAGCGTGGTGTTAGGGCTCATATTTTATGCATGGGGCTGACTAAATGGGAACATTTGGAGATGAAAATTGCTGTTAATGCATCTACACATCTTTGGAATATATTAAATGTGCGTGTGAGGGGGAGAGTGACATTAGCCTTATTTAATAGCTTCAATGTAACCATCCCCACACACCGTGGCATTAACAGACACAGGCCCCCCTCCCCGAGCCTCCCAGGCCACCACTCAGGAAGAGTGCTGGGTGCATCACCTGCCACTTGAGAATTACACGTGAGTCCGGCGTCAGCCCGGCATTCGGCAGCGTGCATGTTCCCCGCCCATTTCTAACCCAAACACAGTGACCCTGTGCCAAACTCGATGCAGAATTTCATTAAAAGCAAAAATGATTGGTTTATCTATTGTTTGCGCAGAAGAAAGAATAAACAAAGGGCCTTTCGCATCAGATAAGCCAAACGAGAACGTGTGCCCCCCAGGTGGGCAGGATGAAAGTTTTCACGGACCCTTCAGCCAGAGGGCCAGTGACTTGTCCCATCTCCAGGGCGGTGTGTAAACCCTGCCGCCGGTCCAGGTTCACGAGGTGTGCTCCTTTCTCCAGCGCAAAGGCCCGGTTTATCCCCACATGTCTCCTGGAGGTGGTTAGGAAATTGAACAACCTGGACCTCCATTCCCATTTCCTTGTTGTTTTCAGCCAGAGATAAGAGGAGAAGTAATAGCTGTCCTAAAGGGGTGCTTGCCTTGGTCCTGGGCCCCATCAGCTGCTGTGAGTGGACAGTTTCTGTTCCACAGTCAAGGAAATGGAGCACAGAGAGGTTGAGTGACTCAACCAAGGTCACCCAGCTGGAGGTGGGGCAGGGTCTGGCTCCAGGCTGTGTGCTCTTACCCTGCTTGCAAGGGCTTTAGGAATAGCCCCTGTGTCCTGGAAGACAGATTGCTCATCAAATGGGCCTCTTTTCTTGGTATTATATGGTGAAGTAGGCTCACTTTCCCCAAGACTTAGCTTGCCAGAACGTTCATGTTTTTTTTCTCTGTACCCACCCCTCGTCTCTCCAACATGGTGCCATCACCCATGAAATGGGATGCTTTCGTGTGTGTCTGGCCTGGGGAGAGGGCTGCTTGCTTTGTCAGAAGACTCAAAGCATGATGGGCATCGAAAAACCAAAGACCTTTGTTGACCTGTGTTTTTCACTCTGCTTGATGGTAATTGAGGGCTGTATTCACTGCCTCGGTTGCATGGAGTGAACAAGACCTAGCGAAGGTGACGGGTGCCCTGAGACCATCTGGTTGATCTCTCCTGGGCAGGACCAGGTGCTCCCCTCACTGCCCCCACCCTTGTCTGTGTACCACTACTCTGCACAAACACGGCGGCTGGTGCAGTCCTGGAGACCCACTTAGCTCACGGTTGTCAGGGGTCCTCAAGGATTCAGAGAACCCCCGAACATCAAGGCTGCTCCCTTCTTGTCCTGCCTCTCTGCTCACACCCTTGGACAGGTAAGAAAACTGAGGTCCACAGAGGGGAGGGTGCACTGCTGTGGCTTTTGTTCTGAGCACTGTCTCCCCAACTTTGGGGTTGGGGCTCCGGGGTCAAGACCCACTTCTGATGAACAAGCAGCTTCCTTCTTTGTAAAAATTGAGGCGATCCAAACCAAGAAGGGCTGCAAAATCACCAAGTTGGGACCTCAATACCCACGGGGCTGGGGTTTCAGCCACCCTGTGGCAGAGCTTTTAGAATCAGGGCCCTTGGCTCAGCAGTGCTGGCTCATAGTAGGTGCTTAGTTCATGCCTGTCTCCTTGGATGAAATCTGACCACAGACACCAGTGCAAAGCAGGTGTTCAACACAGGAAGGTGTACTGAACCCGATCTCTCTATCACCAGGAGGAAGCACACAGGAGGCACGCAGAGCACGTTTGTGGAATGAATAAATAAAAACGTATCTTTGAGGGAATAAAGAAGAAAAAAACAAAGAAGAATCTGGGGAAGATGGGCATAAATCTCCACCAAGTGCTGCCAAGGCTTCCCAACCGAGGCTTCTGAAAAGACCCTGTGGAGGTAGAGGGACTATTTGTCATGGATGGGAACGGGCTGGGAAGCAGGGCGTGATGGGGCCTCATTCATCATTTTCCCATTATCCCAGCGACATGCAGGGGAGCAGGTACAGCACCCGTCTGTGCAGCTGTGCTGCCTGCCCAAAGGCTCTAGGTCCTGGGCGGAGTGAGTGCCAGGCTGGGGACTGGGAATGGAAAGGACCCCAAGGAAGGACAAGCTGAGCTCTGGGAGGCCACCTCCTCCAGGAAGCCTTCCCTGATTCATCCTTCACAGGCACAGAGTCTCAATTTGCAGTCAGATATCCATTGCTCTGATTCTTAGATCAGCAAGTATCTCCCTACCCAGACTGCAGGCTCTGCTGGGGCCGGGGCTGTTTCTGACTTGTGCACAATGGCATCCCTGTACCTAGTACAGGACTGAGTCCAGAGAAAGTGCTCTGTGATGCTTGCTGGCCTTATCTCCCCTTTGTGGGCAGCACTGGAGAGGGCACCCGGCAGGTCCTCAAGGTGTGGACATCCCACGGCAGAGCCTGTGGTTGATCCAGACCATGAACTAAGGCCTGGGGCGGGGGTGGCCACATCAGGCCACTTCTGCCAGGAGAGATGTGGCTGTGAGCTGGGGAGCCTGGCCTGCCCCGGAGGCATTCCTTGGGTTTGCATCCATCAGAAGGTCTATTGGTTGCCTCTATTTGGGTCTGGAGCAGGGATGGGATTTTTCCAAGGTACATGGGGTCTAGGGGAGACCCAGGCCCACTATTAGGGTCGGTCTCGAGAAGGCAGAGATAAGGCCACCACTTTATTTGGTGTAGCTCCTGGCTCCATCGGTGTGCGTTGAGTGAATGAATGAATCAGGACTCTTGATTCCTGCCCAGAGCCCCCTCCACACCCCACACAGCCTTGCTCCAAGGAGAAGGGGTCAAAGCCAACTGAACAGTGCTGCAGTGTGGGGAGCCTTGCACAGGCTTGGCCCTTGGCGATGAGATAGGTAGACAGGCCCGTGTGCAAGGGAGCTAGCTTGCAGGGTCCTAGAGGCCAAAGGCCTGGTCTTGGGGCCAGAGGCTGCTGAGAAGGTGCACAGAGCCTGGGTGCAGGAAGCCATCCAGGATGCTGCTTCCCACCATCTGTGAGAGCTTCGTTTTCTCTAACACTCAAAAATAGATGTTTCTGTTATGCTCTCTCGTTGGCAGGGGAGCGGCGGGGCCTGCCAAGGCCTGGGGGAGCCCGCCAGCCTGCTGAGTTTTACTGTACAAACAGTTGGGGAGGGGGGGCTGTCTCTGTTAACTTGAAATTCCCCGATCAGTAAACATGCCAATTTAAAGTGTAATTAACTCAGGCCGGAAAAAATTCAGATTTGGACTGCTTTTCACAGTTGAGGTTGTTTTTCTTTTATTTATTTATCTCTTTCCGGGTGTGGTGGTATCTGTGGCTGGTTTTAGCCAGGAAAAATAGAAGGGGGACCGGGTGGGGAGGGGGCTGGTTGGGAGAGGAAAGGCTGGAAGGAAAGGAAGAGAAAGGGGGGGGTGGCCTGTCACCCAGCAGCCAGCTGTCTCTAGGGTTTCTGTCCTGGGAAGGGGCTGGCAGGGTGATACCCGCCTGCAGAGAGGGGTCCTTCTGTGAGGCTGGGCTGCAGACCCAGCCAATGAAATGAAACGGATGAAATCTGCCAGCAGGCCTGGGGATTCAGAAATGACGGGGCACCGTGGAGAGACCCCAGGAAAACACCCAGTGCTGCTTCTGACACTCTCTCTCCATCTCCTCTATCTCCAGAGTCTCAGTCCCCGCTTTGCCACCATCTCCTCCTCCGATCTCCTTTCCTGCTTCAAAAGACTCCAGAATCTTCCCGGTTCTCAGAGAAGGCTGAATCCACCTATGACCTAGTGGGTGCATCCTGTGCCAAAATTGTTTACCTTCTGGTCCCCGGAGCCATGGGTCACGACCTGGTCCTCACGTAGGCCCGCTCCTCAGCAGCCCCCACCTCGCTGGGGAAGAAGGAGAGCCCTGGGGGTGTGGAGAAGCCCCCGCATCCCTCACATCTTACAGAATCTCCATTGAGTCCCTGGGGACACATCCCTCAGCAGGACACGAACAGTCTTTGCCGCGGCATGGGGAGGGCTGTGCTGGGGACGAGCGCCCAGTGGCCATGGACTAAGTGAAGGAGCAGATGACCATGCTCTTCTCCCAGCTGGACGGCGAGGCCGGGCAGGAACGCAGAATTTTTGCTCTTCGTTTTCAAACACTTTGCTGTCGAGCTATTTGAATAATAAATACACATTATAAAAATGTAAATATGTTTGTGTGTCTGTATGTTCGGAGATGATGTTTGTTAAGCGGGAGGTTTAACAACGGAGGCCATCTGCCTTCAGCAGGGATTCGCACAGAATGTCACTGGCCTTCGCCCAACAAGCCTTTGCAGGGAGCAGCCTCCTGAAGTCGGGGCTCACTCCTGGGCCCCTCCACCGCATGTGAGCCCCCCGTTCCAAGGCAGGAGCCAGGGCAACAAAAAGACATGCTGCTTCATCAATCCGAGGCCTCAAACGGCTCCCCCAGCCCCCCTGCCTGCCCATTCCAGGCCTGGGGCTGGCAGCCTGGGCCCCACGAGGGGGCAGAGGCCAGAGCCCGGGGGCAGAGCCCGTGCCCACGCCTCAGTGCCGCCAGCCTCCGCTTGGTCACGACACAGCCAGGCTGACTCAGACGCAGCCCCGAGCGGGAGCCTCATAAATGACATCATTACCTATGAAACCTGCCGCGTAGCGCACTAGCAGGGAAGGACGCACTCTGGCCGCCGGTGACTCACACTTTTCCCCAGAGCCTCCCAGCTCCATCGCCTGTGTCTGGGCTGGCTGGGCAGGGGGAGGGGGAGCCCAGCTCGGCCTCACTTCCCCACTCTGCTGCAAATGCAAAAGCAGTCGGCCAGGCAGCCACCGTCCTGCTGAGGGCTGTTGGGGGGCAGGGTGGGGGGGCCATGTCTCCCTGCTGAGGGCTGGGGCAAGGGCAGGGTGGGGACCATGTCTCCCTGCTGAGGGCTGGGGCGGGGGTGGGCGGGGGCACGGAGACCATCTTTCCGGCCTCCCTCTGCAGCCCCAGTGGCGCTCCAGAGGGACTGTCAGTTGCCTATGACAGGGAGGAAACTGAGGGCTAAAGAGGCCCCATACCTGGCCTCATACATCCCACAGAGGGGGGTGGCTTTGGCTCACGCTGGGAACCCTCAGGGAGACCCTTGGGTGAGCCCAGCCGCTGGGCAGAGCCGCAAAACCTCTGGCTATTCCTGCTGGACCTGAGACCCCAGCTTCTCCTGAGCTACTCTGGTGCGTCAAACTTCTGCTGAAAAACACTTCTACTCTTGAAAGTGGTGGCCTTGCCAACCCAAGATGTCCCCACCAGGTGGGGGGCACTGTAGGGGAATGCTAGTTTTCTTTTTTCTTCAATTAAAAAAAAGTAAAGCAAATAAAATGGGACCTGTTGGGTATGGCCTTCAGAGTCGGAGGACTTGGGTTAAGATCCAGCCTTTGTCATTTTCTGGTGCTCTGGCTTTCTTGTCTCTGGCCTCCACCTCCTACACATGATGAGAGTAAAATGCCTGTTAGGTTCACATTAAACTGGGGCTCCCCGTCAATGATCCATGGCTGGGGAGGACTCCCACCAATCCTAAGGTGCACCTGCAGCCCAGACCTCACTCTGGCTGCCCTGATGGTCTAGCCCCCCACACGCTGCTGGCTCTGGGGCTGTGCCCTCCTGGTACGCCCCAGCACCTGATGGCATTCCCCAAACAGAACAAGAACCACAAGCAGCAACTGCCTGTTTTTGCTCTTAGGAAGCTCAGAGCAGCATCCTATGCCAAAATCACTCTAGTCCCCAGAGCCACGGGTCACAAGCTGGTCCTCAGCCAGACCCACTTCTCAGCGGCCTCCATCCTTGACCCTGGTTTCCTGGGGACTCTGCCCCACTGACTTCTGAGCTGTGGGAGCTGCAAGGGAGAGGGGTGGGCTACAGACTTGATGGGAGGGTACAGAGGTAGAAATTCAAGTCAGGGCCACAGAGCTGTGTTCAAAGCTGGAAACATGACCTGAGCTCGGCACAGAGCCAGGCGCCTGGGAGGAGCGGAGAGGGAGAATTGGAGGGCACTGGGATTGGTAATCCTCAAGGCGTCTTAGGCAAATGAGCTCGGGGTCACAGGGCAGGATACACAGGACTGAGGAACACTGGCCAACCATCAGTACTGTGACCCAGGCTGGCTTGGGGTACAGTGGGGGATCCCAGGACTGGCAGGCCCCACAAAGCAGCCTTCCCTGAGTTTGTCTGAGCCGAAAATCCCAGCAAAGGGCTTTGTGGCCCGATGCCGCTTTCACCCTGGTAGCTCCACCCCATTTCCCCCTTTGCCACCAATTCGCAGCTCTCCTGCATAACCCATGCCGTGACTTTCAATGGGTTAAGGAAAGTGCACATCTCTAAATGACCACACGCGCCCCGTCATGTGCACGTGCACACACACTGACATGCATTTGAGGAACGGGAGCATTCTGTGAGCCTGAGCCAAGGTCAGGGACCCTGGATGGGGTAGGAAGGAACCAAGGGAGTTGGGCAGCAGACGCATGTGCTGGCAGGGACGGCAAGGAGCCCTGAACGTTGGTGGTGGGTGAGTGCTGTGTCAGGACCGGGGCTAGAAGAAAGGCTTGCAGTCAGAGTGGACCCAGTTCTCTTTGAAGCATAGCTTTCTTCTGGTTCTTTCTAAGATCAAAGCAACTGACACCTGTGCAGCTGTCCCTGGGTCACTTTGTCTGATGTCACACAGCCTCAGGACTCTCTCTCTGTCTCAGTCACTACTGAAGCTGACCCCACCTCTCCCCCAGTGATGAGGCCTCTCTTCCCACAGATGGGGGATTTCTCACTCACATCCAGACCCCTCCTGGCCACACTCATTTTCTTCTTGGGGCACAGGGGGTACCACCCCTGGTCTGGGGACTGGTCGGCTGGCCACACCCCCTCTTCGGTGGGTAGCAAAGTGACACTTCTGACTAAAAAGACAGGAGTCACACTGCCCAAGAATTGAGTGGAGTTTCTTGCACAGAAAGAGAGTTTGTCTTCCAAAAGACAAAGAGGTTTCCAAGCCTCAGGAAGGGACGCCGAAAAGTCAGTGGGTTGAAGCTGGCTGGGTTTCACCCCCAACTTGGGCACTAACCCTGAGAATGGGGGTGGGGGCAAAGGTGGCATCAACGCTGCCAGAGCCTCATGCTCCAACACACGGGAGCCACTGGCCCAGCTCGCCCACGCCTGTGACCTTGGGACCATCACTGGAACCTTCTGGGCTTCTGTGTCTTCATAATAGGACCCGGGTTCTTGAGAGAGAGACACCAAAGCGTGCCCAGAACAGAGTCCAGCAGCCCACTGGTCCCCCGTCACCCCAGGTCTCTCTGTCAACCTTCTCTGTCTCTCCCACGTCAGCCTCATACCTGGTTTAGACCCTGGGGGATGCTGGGTACACGGAACAGACCACCTGCGCTTGGGCCATGGTTGCTGGGCACTGCCCTCTTCCCTAACGAGGGAGGAGTGAGCAGAGCCCTCAGAGGGGCCATTGGCAGTCCCCGGGTCAGGGCCTGAGTCCCCGGAAGTGGGGCTCCTGCCGCCTCCCTGCAGGGTCCTGGCTGTGTCAGGTGGGGCTGTTGTTCCTCTCCTGTCTGTTGTCATCTTCCCTTTGCCATTTCCCTCACGGTGCTGACATTTTCCTGGTGGGTCCAAGAGGAAGGAGGGTGGACAGACTGCACAGACAGCCCCAGCGAGTGAGCAAGCCTGGCCTTTACTAAGGCTGCCTCGAGCTTGCAGTGAGCCAAGATCACGCCACGGCACTCCAGCCTGGGCAACACAGTCAGACTCCATCTCAAAAAAAAAAAAAAAAAAAAGGCTCCCTCTTTCCCCGGCTTGGGGAAAAGAATGGGTGCATATCACCCCTTCTATGGAGGGGTAACTTCATGGGTTCCCCCAGAAAACCCCAAAACCTGGAACTGCTGCAGGGTTATCACCTACCCTGCCTGTGCCCGGCACAGAGCGGCCTCCGACGGTCGCCTAAAAGGGGGGCAGCAGTCCTGTTTGTCTCCAACATCCTCCCTCTCCAGGATTCTCTGAGCACTTGTGATGGCCGCAAACTGAGCCTCAGCGAGGGGTTCGCTGGCCTTCCGCGGCTCCCGGCACTTTGTAATCCATAACGAGAGGAGGACCGTGAGGATGTATTCACAGTTCACGCATTCAGCTTCTATTTAACTAAGTTTCCGAGCACCCGTGCTCTGAACTATGACCCCACAGAGAGACCACCGCCTCCCGGCAACTGCCTGGCAGGGCACCAGGCTGCAGAGACAAAGGAATGGGACCTTTAGAGGCCTGGGCCAGTTACTGGCACTGGGTGCCCACCTCTGGGTAGAGAAAATGCCATGTGCCCAGTGCAGCCTCAAGATGCTTCCTGGCCAGAAGGACCCTGTTTGCCAAGGCCTTTTCACCTCTTATCTCCCCCAATGCCCTTTCTTGGCAGTCAGCCAGTGGTTCCACCTTTCCCCTTTTCAGTCAAAAAAAATAAAAAATAAAAAATAAAAAAAAAAGTAAACGCAGGCCAGAGAAGCCACCTGCCTGCGGTCCCACAGCTCGAGGTGGAGGTGGAGGGGGTGCTGCCACTCTAGCTCTGGGCGCCCCCACCCGAGTGCCTGGCTCCTGAGAACAGAGCCTGGAGCCAGAAGAAATCCACCCTTGGGGCCAGGCTGGGTGGACTTGGAGAGGGGGTGGAGGAACGCAGGCGGGAGGTACTGAAGGCTGTAGAGGTGAAGGGGGGTTGGGGGCCCCCAGGGATCCCTGCCCTGTGGTTCTTTGGGCTTCATAGATTGGAAAAGTTGGTGCCCTTCTGAGGGTGGGTGGGGGTGGCACCAGAAGCAGAATAAAGGCCCCTCCCCTAGAGCCAGGATGGCTCAGCGGAATCATCGAGAATGAGACCGCTGGTTGCTAATGGGCTTGGGGAAAATGCGATGCAATTTCGCCGGTGTTTTTCAGGCCCAGACCTATTGAATAAATGAAGTGCGCGCCGGCGGAGTGAGTAACGCACTGCGCGGCTCCTGGCTGGCGGGGGCGGAGTTGGGGCCGCAGAACCGGACGTGCCTTGCGAGGTTCAAAGGCGCTGGCGGTGTGGTGGGTGGGCAGCACCGGGATGGCTGGACAGAGGAAATACGGGGGGAGGGGTTGCCGATCCGACACTGGTCTGGAGGGGAGGAGCAGGGGGAAGGATGGGGCTTGCTGGAGAACTTGACCTTGCT